TTGTTACAGAGTCAACGGGGAAAGAAAAGCGGAGAGAAAAGAAAAAAGGTGATCCATATTATTTACTGAAAGCCTATTATATGTGATTGAAAATGCCTGGCAGACAGCAGACATTATGTCAAATTAAAGCAGATTTTGACAAAAATTACTTAAGTTATTTCAACTTAATACTGGTCCATTGAGGTCAATACAGAAAAAGATACATAGTAATGCCAGTTTTGCGTCCAGCTGTTGTGGACGATATAATGTTAAGAAATTGACTTGTGATGTTGGCAGTTGTGATCTGGGTGTTTCTGCTTTATGCAGTGTACTTTTTCAAACTCACTTCTCCTATTGGCCAGCCCCCCTCATGCTCTGTGGAGTGGCAGTCAGATTTAGCCTATCACAGAGATGTGTGAACTCTCATAAGAAGCAGAGTTTTCGCATCGGCCAGTCTGAGAGAAATCCATGATTCCCATTGCATTATGATTATGATCACCCCAGTTGCATTTACCATCACTTCATATGTATATAACATTGGTCACATTGTAATATTTTGATTCATTTGTACAGGCAGAAAAAGGCCTGTGCCGGGGCCCCCCGGCCCTCCCGGACCCCCTGGCCCTCAGGGGCCCCCGGGCATCCCTGGGATCCCTGGGTTTCCAGGAAGTAATGTGATGGGGCCAGCAGGACCTCCTGGGCCTCCAGGACCACAGGGACCTCCGGGCGCACAAGGCCCAGCAGGTATGTGTGTTAAAATAGAAATGACACCATCAATATACCGAGATAGACAAAACTCTTTTCAAGCCAGAGAAGTTAAAACACCCACAAGTTTCAAGATGAGTTCTTAGATTACAGTGCACGGAGACACTTTCCCACACTAGAGGGGCTCTCAAGTTGTCAAAATCAATGAACTCATTGCTTTACCAGAGAGACTTCTGATGCAGATGTCAAACACACTGTGGGATCACAGTGATCTATGTTCCAACTATTTCAGTGTTTGTTTTATTTAAGTCATGTCATTTCAGCTGTGATAAAGTATGTCTTTATTTTTACAGGGATTCCAGATTCCAGGTCCAAAACAAAAGAGTTCCAGGTACATCCGTTTAATCTTTTATAATTATATTTTCAACATTCACAATGTCCCCTATGCTGATCTTCTTAATTACTTTGGGATTATTGTATTTCAGCCTGCAGTGGTTCACTTGCAAGGGCAGGAAACAACAATTCAAGTGAGAGAAGGTGAGTCTCTTGGATGTTAATTCTTGAAATGACAGAAAACAATTGAAATGATTTCAAAAGCAGATACTGACTATTGATAAATATGACGCAGCTTAATAATAGGCTTGAGGCCAAATGTAAATAGTTATTCAACATACGTGTGTATTGTACATGTAGTTTCACTCCTGAGACATTTACATGGACTGTATCTCTCTTTTGTTGTTAAATATTTAGATCTCTCTGAAGGCATCCTCAGAAACTGGAAGATGGTGTCCATTCATCACCGGGTGTTCAAAATGCACTCTCGCTCTGGAGAGCTGGAGGTGCTGCTGGACGGGGTCTACTTCATTTATAGTCAGGTAGAAGTGAGTACGGTCTTGACGTAACTCTTTAAATCTATAGTTCAAAGCTAAATTAACCTAAGCACAATGTCTTGCTGCTCATGCATGTTTATAAATTAACAAATACATATTTAAAGTAAGGCTGTCTGTAACCTGTCAGGGCCACACTTGTCCTACTGGGAGCTTTAGACAACCTCTGATTGTGATTTGTAATTGTTACTTTAGGTGTACTACCTCAATTTCACTGACATCGCCAGCTACGAGGTGATGGTGGATTCCAACCCTTTTCTACGCTGCACCTGCAGCATTGAAACAGGCCAGCGCAAGTTCAACACCTGCTACACAGCCGGAGTGAGCCTACTGCGCGCTGGTCAGAGAATATCCATACGTATTGTCTATGAGGACACACTTATCAGTATGACCAACCACACAACATTCTTGGGAAGTGTCAGATTGGGTGAAGCACCATCTTCTGGACAGAACTGAAAACTACACACTCAAAGACTGCAAACACAACATTCCCTCAGACTTCATCATAGTGTTGATGAATTGATTCCAACTGTTGATAAGCAACATCAGCTCAAGTCTTGTCCCATGTGACTCTATAATTAGGATTATTTAAATCAGTGGAGTTAATAAAGTGGAAAAGGCCTTTGGGTGACTTGAGCTTTGTTTCAAAGCTCTCTATTTAAAAAGGACATGACAGACCGTTATGTCTCCCTTGACATCTATCGAGTGTGAGGAGAAAGGCTTTGATGAGCCACATGTCTCCTTAGTCATCAAGCAAATGTTTCTATTTATAGTCACTATTTCTGTCAAAACAGCATTTCTTTATAACAAGGAAAGACACTGTGCTGACAAATGATTATTTACTTCTGTGCTGTTGGACGATCTCCCTGTCTCCAAAAACATTCATGATTCAAATAATTTTGACCTGTTATTTGTATGCACATGGACATTTACTGGGTATAAACAGATTACATTTAGTGATATGAGAGCCATTAAACACTTTCCGATGTCCATGCTTTTGCGGAGTAAAACATTTAATAAATCAATCAGTAATTTAAGACTGAAGAGAATAGCTATTGAGAAATAACAAAACAACAGCACTATGTATTTTGCACAGATTTGCACTAAAAGCATCCCTGCAGATTAGTGATATGTTTGTTACAATGCTATTTAGTTAACGTGTTGATTAAGCCATGTGGGAAAATTATTGTTTATACATTTTTGTACATATTGTATATAAAATGGAATATACTTTTGTAAATTGATTTGATGGATTAAAGTATTTCATGTTCGGTCTAATTTTACTTGTTTCTGTGGACACCTTTTCCGGCACCAGAGGCAAAACGTAATGAAGTAATAATAGAAAAGTACAGTACTGTACTAAAGAAATTTTGATACTTTTTTACTTTCACTTTACAACATTAGAAATAGATATCTGTAATTTATATTCCACTAGAAGACTAAACAAAAATATACCAATACATGCTGGAAAAAAATAGATTTAATTGTTTCTGTAGAACAAAATTCAGCACAAATCTTTATCAAAATCAATACATTTGAAGCTTTATTAGATCTCAAACTCTGCGCAAAATACTTTTATTTTTTACCCTTTACAAACGTTTTCAAACTTTAGTGCTACTACTAAGTCGATTTTATTTTTTTTTTTTTTATGCAAATCTTTTACTTGTGTTTTTTTTTTTTTTCCTTTGGTATCTGTACATTTTCCACTGCCCAGCACACAGCACACCTCAACTACAGACCATTACATTTCAAGCTTCTACTCCAACGGCTGCGTGTGCCCCCCCACTCCCTTCACCTCCTCTTATCCTCCAAAGCATCATCATCATTCTCCACTGCCCCTTTGCCACCAACAAAAACTAACCGACGACCATTCATGTGCAATACACCTCATCTAATTTACTTTTTTGTTCTCTCCAGGACATAATGTAATTTGAGAAACACACAATGTAATTTGCAATAAGTTGTCAGAGCTCATGTTTTGTCATGTTTTAAAATCTGCTACATCATTTGAGAATTAAATCGCACACTTTCTGTGGGAGTCCGTGGGAAGATGGCCAAGATGTCTAAAACAAGGGGGGTATGTCACTGATTGCTTGAGATGGAGTCATCTTGGATATAGTACTACTGAGATTCATGCCATTAGTGAGTATTTGGATAGCACTGCAAAAATATTTCTACTAATTGCTTTGTTTTCTCTAAGGATTTGAAGCTTAGTGCTTTCCAAAAAAGGGTCTACGAAGATACCTCTTAATTGAAGGAACAGCTGCAGAAGAGGAACTGGAAGTACTAACTTCAATAGAGTCTGGTTGTGAAATGATCAACTGTAATCTATATGAGTAAGATGAATAGTTAAGCTCCTTGCCTGACTGGGTCCAATAGCATCTCTGCAGCGTATAGCTAACACTGACACTAACAAACAGCTGGTCAACGTTGTAGAGGTAAACCTTGGCTTTAGTGCTGTGCAAACCACTATTATTTTGAATCAGTGTAACTTTTCTTTTCCCAGAGGAAGTATAACAATAATTCTTTGGACCTTTTCTGACTGCAAGGAAATGCAATTTTAACAAAGGAAAACACAGTTGTTGTCCAAGTTGACGGTTATTGCTTGGTGTTTGGACAAGTATTGTGTCATTCTCATCCAAGTATATCTAAAATGATACGCCTCTGATTTGTTCCATCTATTGGTTGAATGTTCTGGATGTTTCACAGGTTTTGTTTCAGACCCCTCTGGGCTCTTATATATAGTGAGTTCAGCTGCAGAGGGGACAAAACCTGTGAGCTGTGTTGAGATGTGCTTGCCAATACATTTGCTGTACAATAACTAGAGATGGAGTTTTACAAGGTTCACTGTTTGAAATTAAGGATATATTAGAGCTTTACTTTTAAGTTTTCATTTTCAACATTGTTTTTTCAAGGAGAGTTTCAGGGCAGCAGGGTCATGCTAGAGCAGTCATCCCTTGTTTTTGGCCACTTTCCTTGCCTTCACTGTTTGAGTGCACACTTGAAAATGCCAATTCATGGCATTACATACATGCTCACTGAATGTATCAACATGCTATGTACGTGCTGACTAAATACCTGACTAAGTACACTGATCTTGAGGTGACCATAGCTGTCCATCTCTGGAGTCATTCTTCTTTATCCATGTCACTGAAACAAGACAGTATGGCAAGTGGTGGTAAATGCAGTAAGTGGTGTGTCTACAGTATAGGGACCACTGGATCCTCTTACAGTAAAAACACAAAACTTTTTTATTCAGTACTTTCCTGAAAGTTAGGAGTATCAAAGAGTAACAAGGAAATGCTGTTTTCCAAATATATCATCAGGGCATATCTTCCCTCTGCAACTGTTTGCCTTTTCCTCTTGAGCTGTTTATGTGAGGTCTAGTAGCCACACTGGTGCAAATGAGCTGCAGAAGGCACAGGAGGCACAATGGTCAAACCAATGGGCTGTCTTCTTTTCATTTACATGCTGCTGAGCCATGACCTTTATTCAACTGGACAGCCATACTCAAAGGTACAATAAAATGACTGTATTATTTGTTCTCTATGTATTTTTATTATTAATGAGTAATGTTTCTTTGAATTGTAAGGAGCAGTCCTGGAGCAACCACAACCTCTCTTCTGTCCCTCCAGATTTGGAAATGGGACTCAAAAGACTCGACCTGTCCAATAACTACATCAGACAGTTACACGCGCTTGCCTTGCCATACTTGGAGCAGCTGGACGTGAGCTCCAACCAGCTGGATCTCATCTCCGAGGGCTTTTTCCAAAACCTGGCTCAGCTTGAGGAGTTGAACTTGTCCCGGAACATGCTGAACAACAACGTCAACAGTAATGGCAGGGCTTTTCAGTCCATCAACAGACTCAAGATTTTGGACATATCTTTGAATGGTTTGGGGAATGAGGCAGTGGAATTGTACCTAAAAAACAAATCCACTCTTGATCACATTAAGATGAGTGGTAATGTTTTACAGTGGCTTTCACGGAGCATGTTTGAAGGTAGTAAAAACTTGAAGGCTATTTCTGTTGACAACAACTTGATATCAGTTATAGAACATGGAGCATTTGAGTCATTGTGGCACTTGGAAAAACTAAATTTGGCTCAAAATAACCTGGCTAATATTTGTGATTTTAAATTGTATTATCTTAAATATCTCAATCTGAGCAGAAATTCAATTGAGTTTTTTGTCACACATGAAAATGACCTCCCATACAGACTTGAAATACTGGATTTGAGCTTCAACAAACTCCTCTTTTTTCCAATTGTCCCGAAACTAAACCACTTGAAGTATCTGTACTTACAGCAAAACATGATTGGTGCTATGATTTCAGAGGCCAAAATAGTTACAGAAGGTAATGCCCTTTACAATGAGATTGTAAATGGCAATTATATAGCAATGAATAAAAATTACCTCCATTATAACTGGAGACTAATGCCACTGATATACATCGATCTAAGCTACAATCTTTTTCAGACATTTCCATTAGAAACTTTAAGCCTTCTCTCTAGCTTGGAGACACTTAACTTTAGTCATAACTGCGTGGACAACATTAGCTGGAATATTAGAAATGACAGTGAAAGTGGATTCAAAAGACCCATTTCCTATTCCTCACTGAAGCATCTTGATCTCCAAAGCAACAAACTGGTTCATATATCTCCACTCTTTGTTGAGACACTTTTACAAATAGAGACTTTGAATCTGCAAGATAATTCAATTCAACTCTGTTCAACTGAAGACCATTACCCATCATCCTTTGACCAAAAAAACACATATCCCCATATGCCCTCCTGCATGTCATTTGGACCATTAAAAACACTAAAACATCTAAACCTGAGAGAAAACAACATTAAAATATTGTACAATTCCACTTTTGAAAGAATCAATCTAGTTTCTCTAAATCTTGGAAACAATCCCTATATGGTAATACAAAAAGGGGCACTAGAGGTGATGCAGAAAACACTTAAATCTCTGATACTCAGTGAACTCAACGTCTCTGAAATAGTTTTGCCCTGTATGTCTGCTTTAACTCAACTTAACATATCAAACAATATTTTAGATATCTTGCCAAGCAATATAACCTGCTCACCTCTTATGGAAATTGACATAAGAAATAACATGTTACACTATTTGAACCAGTCTGTGGTTTATACTTTAAATAAGCATGTCAAAATAATACATATTAGTGGTAATCCATTTAAATGTTGCGAGAATACATGGTTGACTGTGCTGAATGAGCCAAAAGTGACAGTGCCAGATATGAAAAAAGCTCAGTGTGTAACTGGGGGTGTTAAAATTCAAATGCAAGAGTATCTTACAAATTATACAATTTATTGTGGTGCTGTGAACAAAACCCAACAAAATTATAATTTTGGGCAGTGGCTGATTGTAACTGTATTTGTAGTTGTATTGTTTACAGGTGTTTTTATATTTGGTAAAAACATGTGCTCACTGTCCTCAATTGTGTGATTTGATTTTATTAAAATGGCTCAAATAAACGTCAAAGGACATCTTGAATAATTATTTTAACTAGAGTAAAAACTTGTAGCCCAACTGCACCAAGCTCTCCAGAAAGTGTATAAACCTCAGGATGGAACGTAAAAAAAAAACGTTGTTACCATGGAAATCCGCCATGTTTGTGGCAGTATTGCAAAACTATCCTAGATAATGTTAAGATACTTAACTATGCTTAGCTGTTTTTATAATCTCTGCTCTATTTCATTATTGTACTGAGTTCATGTGAAGATAAAGGCGGGGATCACAGCTGTGAGACTCAGATATGTCAAGACAAATACATGATTCCAATCTATCTAATAACAAACTAACTAAATAGGACAAGAACAAGAAAATGGGGGCGATGTTATGACCTGGTAGTCAGAAAACACCCCGGAAGGATGTTCATCGCAGAGAGACTGGATTGCGCGCATCGTGCCAAGACCAAGGCCAGGACTGAGAGTGAAACTCACTGTATAGGCGTAAACATGGCGTCTCTGCAACAATAATAACATTTATGATTTTAAAAGATTAGCAGATTTTTAAAGATTCATGGAGTTCTGGCGTATGACTGTTTGAATATTTTATCAATCAGAGGTAACTTTGCCAGGCTATGCTAACTTTACCTAAACGCGGGCACAAACGAGTTGCCTCTGGATAAAGCTGAAGAAAGAGCAGGGCCCTACCACATAGACGACTAACTACTAAACAGCTGCAGATGAAATGAGACGACTGTTCCTCTAAATCACCGTATAAAGTAGGCCTACTAAAGTTAGTTTGCTGATTCGCCAGCTAAAGTGAAAAGAAGAAACACTGCAGCATTTAGGGCGCGGCTCCACCGTGATCAGTGAACGCAGCAAGGTGAAAGCACCGACTGCACATTTCCACTTGTTTAACGCTTTACTTGTCTGGGAGATCGCAAGGCGAATCAGTGAAGATATTTAACTGTCGTATGCTACACAAGACAGTATCATTATATAATAGGTGACGTATATGATTGTTGAGCTAATTCGCTAACTAGTTAGCAGTGGAGGAACACCTAGAGCAGGCCGCCACCATGAGGGCTCAGCTGCCAAATGTGGACGCTTTGTCCTCCTCCAAAATCTCCCAAAAGGTGCTGCTGACCTACAAATTGTTTTTATTGGAAAATGCCCGTAATGTGCTCAACAAGGAGTTGGACAACTCAGCAAAAAAGGTAAGATTTCCATAAGACAAGTGTCCACTATAAAGTTTTTACAAAAAGTAACTCCGAATCAAAATATAAATTTTCTCAACATTTTCTAACTCATAAAAAATAAATTATACTGCATGTTTGTTTGTTTTTATTTTGACATTTTATTTTGATTAGCCAAGTAGCCAGAGGGGGCATTTGGACCCTATTTCAGTCTTCACTAAGAATTTGTAATAGATGATAAATGTAAGAATTGTGCGTGTTTGTTTGTATATATGCCCTTAGGCTTATGAAGAGGTCAACGGATTTTTGAATTCGTCTCTCCCAACTAGTGCTTTCAAGGGTCTTTCAGAAACTTTGGATGCAAGATGTCAAGCTATTGAAAAGCTATCTTTAATGCTTAGGAACTTAAATTTTGGTAAGTTAAGGGTTAATCAAAGTAGTAAATGTATATTACTTTATAATATTGATGTTTATTTGGATGAATACTGTACTAATACTTTTCACTCTTCTTGCACCATCACAAGAAGATTTTGATCAATATAAAATGGATCACAATCAGCCAGTCAAGGAGAAGTATGCCTTCAAATTTGGACCTAAGTTTCAGGACATGTTTATTATGCGATCTTTGGGCAGAGCTGTTCAAGTGCTTGGAGCCAGCCTACCTTTTCAACATTTTAAGCATTTGATAGTGCCACAAAAACATACCAAGTGGGACAATACCAGAAACATTAACCTATCCACATCTCAGGTACAAGAGAAGGATTCCGTTTGTAGTGCCTCATTTGGCACTCTGCAAGAAATTGAAATTCAGAAGGAAAAGGAGGAAAAAAATGTGGAACAAGGCTCATCCCATGAAGCGATCCTTCTACCTGCTACTTGTCACACTGTTGAAAGTAATGCTCACAAGTTATTGCTACCTCCGATTCATGTGATTCCTCAAGCAACTAGCTACAATGAGCCTTATGTAGGTGTCCCTACCACGAAATGGGGACGTGAAGATGACATCCAAGTGCAACATCAAAAACAAACCTCCTCTCAACTTCTGCACTTTCTCAAAGTAAAGGCTAAAAACACAGGTGCACTCAATGCCACTGTTATGGAGTGGAGTAATAGTTTTTTGGGCCTCCCAACACCAATATGTTCAATTCAAAACACTCCAAAACAAGCATACAAATTCAAACAAGATGCTGTATGGCCCACTGGTATGTTTTTTGAAACTGAAAACCATGTACCACTTTTCAAGCTAAAACGTCTGGACTCGAACGGCTCTCTGATCTATACCTGTGTGATTGCAAGCAAGACAGAACTGTGGGACATTGGGGACATAGTTACAGATTTTGACTCTGAACGTAGCTCAGTGTCCAGTGAAAAAACATCTCTGATGATGCCCTCTGATGACACAGTTCAGTGGGCTGATGCTGCTGTGCAGAAAAATGATTTCACTAGTGTAAAACTGAACATAGGGAATGTTATAACCATCCCTGAGTTTCAACATAAGAGATTTGAAGAGATTCAAGTTGTCGTGTCTCACATTGTCAACCCTGGCCATTTCTACATTCAGCATGCAGATGCAAAGGAAAAACTGCAGACCCTTACCACAGAGTAAGTTTGAATTATTAGGGTTTTAATACATTTGTCAATATAATATATAATGTCGATATTTGTTTTTCTTCCAGAGCCTGGAAAAAAAGTGATTCGTTTGCAGAACAGAACTGCATTCCAAACATTGGCACTAAAGTTATGGGCTGGTTTCCTCAACAGAAGCAATGGTGCAGGTCTCAGGTCACAAAGATCTGTGGAATAAGTAAAGGTGGGCTCTCAGTGGAGTTGCACATGTGTCCCTCTAGATGGCAGTGTTTCTTTACCTGTGTATTAATGTCCTGCCAGATGATATCAACAACAGCACTAAGGAGGTGTCCATCACTGTGGAGGTTAAGAGGTTGGACTATGGGGACTTCTTTTGTCTGTCTCTGTCAAATATAAAGGAGCTGACCTCTGAAATGGCTGTTCTGCCGCTCCAGGCTGTACAAGTCTCTTTAGCACATGTAAGTTAATAAATGATTCAGTGCCATTCTGATGCATGGGGTAAGTAAATGCTTTAATATGTTAGTTTTTTTGTAACTGTGTTCTACCAGCAATGTTTTGCCTTAGTTCCAGAAACCAAAGTGGATTAGGCTGTGCATTTGCATAAGTGGAAATGCTTAAAGTACCGTTTAAATGCTTTATTGGCATTTGTCCACACTTAAAATGTTTCCTTTATCACAGATTATCTATGTTCATGGTATTTTGTTGTACGGCCTTCAGGTGTCGCCTGTAAATGACAGAGGCTGGTCTGAGATGGCGGTGGATTGGTTTAGAGACATGGTACACCAGAGGATCCTTTACGCCAGACTATACCCAGAGGGACACAGGATCACAGTGGAGCTCTTCCTAGAAAAGGGCAACATCAAAGCCATGAGGTAGTATAGGAATATAGTACAAATATGATAATTGCATACAAATTGTAAAATACAGTAATTAGGTTAATGATGTAGGCTAAAACCAACTGGTGGGCTTTCAATAAAAATAAAGTTTATCTTAAACTCTTCACTTGACTCTTTTTTAGAGACTAAATCCTTCATATGATATGTATTTTATACCAATACATATGAAAAATAATTTGTACCTGTTTGAATCTGAATTGTAGGAGAGGTGCCTCCCTCTCTCTGAGACTGACCCAGAACGGACATGCAAAACATGACAAACTAAAGAATGGTGTTGGTAAATCAGTTATACTATACAAATCCATATTTATTTAAATGCATATCTCATGCATATCTCAAGTTTTGTTTTTTTGTGCCTGTGTGTGTATGCTTTTAGGTACTGTGCAACTTAAAAGGAGGAAGAAAGACTTGGAATGGGATATATAGCATATATTATATGTTATTATGTAACATATATTACGTATTAGAGCTGCCCGCCAGCTACAGAGACTTTTTTTTTTGTTTATTATTATTTTACATTATACTTGCTCTGGATTCAAAGCAAAACTTATTAAACATTTATTTTAATATGTAATGTTAAACTTTTTCTTATCTCAAAAGAAGAGAACATGCCGCTGTTTTTCCAATTTTCCAATAAATATTCAGTTTGGCCCACTACTTAGTCCCAGTTTTTAATTTTGTCCCTCTGTGAATATGAGCTTGACACCCCTGCCTTACAGGAACATTAAATAGTATACTTTTTAAAGATATGCTCCTCCAAAAATGTGTTTTACTCATTATCTAAACAACAACTGTTGACAGAGATTTTATAGCTAAAGCTGTACATGAAGAATACCTTTTCTGACAAGGGAATCAAGAACCAGGCTCAAAGCAAATAATTTTTGACAGTCCAGTCGTAGCTGTTTACTTGGAGCACTGGTCTCTCAAATGTTGAAAACATCTCCCCTTGAATATCCACACCGTTAAGAACTTTTTTTTTTTTTTATCTTCATTCAACAGCATTTAGTACACCTATAGATGTGGCAGAAGTCTGTGCCATTTGTCACTCCTGTAACTTTTTTTGTTTTTTTTTTTTGTCATGAATGCATAAAGGTGTCTGATAAGTGTTAGTAAAGAGATAAGACCTAGTTCCAGACCATATGTCTGCGTGTAGAGTATAGAAAGAATGTCTAGTCCTTATTTGCTTGTATATGCATGCTCCATCAAGGATTCTTATTTAGAGGCTTTTCACAATCTGTCAAGAAATCGAATGGGTCAGTCCGTATGAAATCAGCCATTTCCAAGGAATCTGCCCTATGAGCCATCTCAGATTTGGCTGAAAAAATGTCTAAAAATTTCTAAAATCACCGAATGAAGGAATCTCAAATTTTAGCTCCATCCCTTGAGTCATTCCTGAGTTATGGCCTGTTGAAATTTTGGGGCCGTGCTCACTTTTTCAGAAGACTTAATTTATAAGCAAGTTTGAGAGCCCATAACTTCATAAAAAATAGACCTAGGAAGCTGAAAATTTGTATTATTGTAGATTCTTGGTCATGGATTCTGAATCTGTTGTTGGGTATCTCTATTAAGGGGGGCGCTGTGGGTCCCCAAAATCTCACATTTAGTTGCCACTCAATTTTTATTATTTTATTTATTTCCAATTTTTGAGGTCCAAGATCTATTTACTCCAAGCAGATATTTACAAACTAACTGTTGAACCTGAATATTTGAGAGAATGACCATTTCTAACAACAATCTCACACTTTTCTGAGCTTTCATTTGGATGGTGTAGAGTCACAAATATGGTCACAGACCAAATGTGATCTATTTGGCCCTTCTTTGGACAGTTGTTTCCCCATGTGGGCACAGTTAGATGTTGATACATTTTTTACCAGAGAACCTTTGACATATTCTCATTAGTTTAAAGTAATAAACATCTACTATTAACTTCCTTAATTTCAAACAGAATTTTTGAAAATGAGCTCTCATAGGTGATATTTGGTGGAGCTTAGGTACTTTTCCACCTGCTAGAAAGGTTCAATTACCTTTAATAGTCTTAAACACTAACTGCCTGTTATAAGAGAAGACAATTGGAGATTATTTGTGGTACATTGGTTGGTCATTAATCCTTTGAGAAAATTCAACTATTAACTTTGTACAAAATTATGAAAAAAGGTTTGTTTGCATTATTCTATTTTTATTTGAGGAAGATAATTTGTTATCTCACAAAGAAACAGCTTTTCATGGTGTATAAGTAAAGCAACAAAAGTTAAAATAGTATCGATGGAAACTGATTAAAAGGAAAATTACAATTGGAATACTCATTGCCTGTTAAATCACAAAGTCTCTGATTCTATAACCATGGCTTTCAGTGCCACCATATGTATATTATTTTTGCACAAAAATATTACAAGAAGACAGTAATATTAACAAGGAAAAATTTGATACTGACACAAAAGTTACAAAAATACAGTCATCTAGTCTGTTATTTGTTCAACTGCTAGATATTACATTTTAAAAATTCAGTGTGAAAAACAACCTCAGCAGAAAATACCAACATACTGGAAAAATCTGCCCATTCTGGTGTCACCTGTTGCCACCTACATGTAGATCATGTGTATTGGTATCTTGCACACTAAGTGTTCCTAACTACTAACGGAAGTAATGTTTGGATCCTGTCATAATCTGCAGTGTCAAGGTGATAATTTTGTGCTCTTCTTCCCTGAGCTTCTGGTACCTTAATACAACAGATTATATGCTGAAACCCAACCCTGGGACCCAACATGGTTCTGCCGATATTCAGGAGTCCAGATGAGGGTTCTGTCGTTTCGATTCATGAATCTCACATAGGCAACACCATGTTCATCTGAACGCTCTGAAATATTCCCAATGAACCACCTGTTGTCATAAATACATGCTCTGTATTGACCTGGCTGGTGTTCAATCTGGCATAATCTCATTTTGTATTTCAGATACTGACACTTCGGTACATAAATGATCTTGAGATATTCTCATTTCTAATTTATCATTAGACACCGGCTGAAACTGTGGTGTGATCTAGTATTATTCACAGTCTTTGCCTTGCTGTAGCGCTCTTCTAATTTGGAAGTAAGTTCATGGTGTGTAATGTGTTTAGAGCTTGTAAAGAAAAAAACTTTACATTCTTTATGTTTTGCGAAGCCCACTCAAACATCTGGGGTGCAGTGAATATTTGATTGCTGTCAGTTGTCTGAAGACTGGTCGTTGCAGCTGAGCCTTTTACTGTGCCACCAAAACCATCACAAGCAATGTACCACAAATAATCTCCAATTGTCTTCCCTTATAACAAGCAACTAGTGTTTAATGTTATTAAAGGTAATTTAATCTTTCTGCAGGTGGAAAAGTACCTAAACTCCACCAAAAATTACTCGTGCTCATTTTTTAAAATTCACTTTGAAATGAACAAAGTTAATAGTAGATGTTTTTATTATTTAAAATAATCAGAATATGCCAAACTTTCTCTGGTAAAAATGTAACTGTGCCCACATGGGGAAATGACTGTCCAAAGAAGGGGCCAAATAGATCACATTTGGTCTGTGACCATATTTGGGACTACACTATCCACATGAAAGCTCAGAAAAGTTTGACATTGTTGTCAGAAATGGACATTCTCTCAAATATTCAGGTTCAGCAGTTAGTTTGTAAATATCTGCTTGGAGTAAATAGAGCTTAGACCTCAAAAATTGAAAAAAAAATTGAGTGGCAACCAAATGTGAGATTTTGGGGGCCCACAGCACCCCCCTTAATACCCAATATTTGACAACATATTCCGAATCTATGACCAAGAATCTACAAGCTTTATTTTTCATGAAGTTATGGTCTCTCAAACATGCTTATAAATTAAGGCTTCTGAAAAAGTAAGCCTGGTCCCAAAATTTCAGCGGGCCATAACTCAGGAACGACTCAAGAGGGAGAGATGGAGCTAAAATTTGAGATTCTTTTATTTAATTTTAGAAATTTTTCTGATTTTTTTTCAGCCAAATCTGAGATGGCTCATAGGGGAGGGCCGCTGATTTCATATGGACTGACCCAAATTTAATAGAAAAATAAACAACAGATATAATAATCCTTTGTTGCAGCACTAAATATTTCACTCATTTTTACTGTTTTTTTTTTTTTTTTTTTTTATGATAAAGTTGTCTTTTCATATCTGTTACTTTGTATAAAAACAGTTCTTTATTTGTCATGCAGAGCATTACATTATCTTTTGTTGTTCAAAATAACAATTTGTGTTTGGGCATTTTGCTGTAATAAAAATAATTGTTGGTTCCAAGTTATGCCATTTGTAAAGTGAGATTTATCCTAGCACCAATATAGATGAGATCTGTTCCATTGAGAAAATTACAGACCACCCAATACTTCCTACATCTGTCATAAGTGACGCAAAACACATTACGCTGCTGTGGGTCATCCCACAGGCCATGACAAACGGCTACATTGTGCTTGCACAGCAATTAGCTGATTGTTAATGGAAATTGTATTAACTCAAAAGAATCTGCCATTCAGCTTTTTTCCACAAATACTGTGCAAAATCTAAACATTGGTAAAAATCTGTATAAAACATTGATTAAAAGTAAAAATAAATGGAAAGTAAAAACATACATTAGGCTACATAACAGAGGTAGTGAAAAAAGTATTCTTATGACACAGGGATTATACTTCAGTTTACTGGCAGAGAGCAGTTTACAGTACTGGTTTGACTGGGCCTGTCAGGGATCCATGCTCTCTGTGACAACAGGTCAAAGCAGTCCTTCCCCTCCCTGCCCTGCCAAGCACAATAAATAATGTGGCAGGCTCCGGCCTTTGTGTCCACACAGATTCTTCTTTTGCCCGGGGTAGGCGGAAATTGAGGCGTTTGATCTGAATTGTAAAGGGGCTTGTTGCAGCCCAATAAAGAAGGCCATTGTATGTAAATTGTTTATATAAGAGCATATGACTGTTACGGTGCAGGGCACTGGCTAGTGTCGGAGGAATGATTAGCATTTTCCTAACGCATGCTGTTCTAAATCCAATCTTTTGACTTTATTTAAAGAGCAAAAACACATTTTTCACATCTCTTCAGACTGTACACATAATTGTGTACCATCACAGCTTAAGGTAATAAGAATACTAATACTATACATATCTTTATACTCCTATTGTATTGTAATGCATTGTGAGATGTTGATGACAGACTGTCATAACCTTGATTATGATTAAATGTGTGATTGTTATATTTTACAATGTTTACATCTACATCTGTAAACAATAAAGGTCTGTCATAATAGGATGCCTTGGCAGACCCTTGGAACCTTTGCTGGCAGTTTGTCAGTCTGTAACTGGGCTGTAGGTCAGTTTGGGAGTACAGTATTAATACAGACTCAGAATATCACGTGGCTTATTGAATGATCTGCAATTGGCTTTGACCTGTTGCGTATTGTGACGGTGCATGGTGGTAGGCCATCGCCCCTGCTTTTATACAGCCACTCAACTTCTTGTCCTGTGTCTTACTGTTGCAAAAACTGGATACTCAGCAAAAGCTAAAGATGGCAATCTTTAGATCTGGCACCACCTATGCTGCTTGCACTACCGGCTAAATCTATGGTAAGCCTCTATTGTTAGTAGACAGCATGGACTGTGAGTCTAACCTGAACCTACTGATAAAGGCCTTTTGATCTGATGACCCTTAGATGAAAGTACATTTGATGTTCATCTTTAACCCATTTTTTGTTTTTCAGACCTGGAGTCAAAAATGAACTGGGGTTCCTTTTATGCCGTTATCAGCGGCGTAAACAGGCACTCTACAGGAATTGGACGCATTTGGCTTTCTGTCATTTTCATTTTCCGAATCCTGGTACTGGTGGTTGCAGCAGAGAGTGTGTGGGGGGACGAGAAGTCTGGCTTTACCTGCAACACACAGCAGCCCGGCTGTAACAGCGTGTGCTATGACCAGTTCTTCCCCATATCCCATATCAGGCTCTGGGCACTTCAACTCATACTGGTGTCCACTCCTGCTCTGCTGGTGGCTATGCATGTAGCCCATCGGCGACATATTGACAAGAAGATCCTGAAAAGGTCTGGCCGCGGCAGCCCTCGGGAACTTGAACGCATCAAGAACCAGAAGTTTCAGATCACTGGAGCCCTGTGGTGGACATACATGATCAGCATTATCTTCAGAATCCTATTTGAGGTAGCCTTCCTCTACATCTTCTACTTGATCTATCCTGACTTTAAAATGGTGCGCTTGGTGAAGTGTGACTCCTACCCCTGTCCCAACACAGTAGACTGTTTCGTCTCTAGGCCCACAGAAAAGACTGTCTTCACTGTCTTCATGCTGGCTGTGTCTGGAGTGTGTGTGCTGCTCAACATGGCTGAGGTGCTCTATCTGATTGGAAGGGCCTGCACACGCTGCTTCTGCAGATCTAAGGACGAGTCCAAAGCAGACTGGATCAGCCAGAGATTGTCGTCTTATAAACAAAATGAAATCAATCTGCTAACAGATCAGTCTCTCAAGTCAAAGTTCACTGTGACTAAAAAAAGTCCCACCGAGAAGGGTGAAAGGTGTTCAGCCTTTTGACTCTTGCAAGGGAACTTAACTTAGCAGCTTTGATCAACACCTTAACTACAATACTGTATATGGCTGCAGAATTTCATTGCACATTTTCATGAAACGTTTAAACTGAGAAGAAAACAAAATCAATGTCCATGGTTTACAAAATATTACAAATTAAATATGTCAGGGTTAAAATGTGTGCTCCATGATGTAATGTCCTTTAATTTTTTGTAGTTGTCCATAGATAATATTAAAACTGCAGACACAAAGAAATACTCTGAATATGCTTATTACTTTATATTGATACCTTCCATTAGAGTAGTCCAGTGCAGGTGACCAGTCATTTCCATTCATTGACCCTCATGTACACACACCCCTTTAATGGGAGAGCCCTAAGGGCTATAATTAGACTGTTTGGACACTTCAAGTTGCACAGATATAGCAGTCATTTTCATTGGCTGGCTGCCCTGTCACTCAGTGTAAGCAAGTAGGGGGCTCTGGCAGTTTACATGAGTGAGTCCTGTGCCAAAATTAACTGTGAGGGGGAGGGCAGGATGGACATGGCGAGAGTTCATCTACTGTTTTACATGTTGTGGTCATTGGCAGAGCAGCGGGTCTGTTCTGGATAGGCCGACTGCCTTTAGATTGCAAGTTTTAGGCTTTCATTTTAGGTGTGAACAACTCTGGGGTCAGGAGAAGTCCACTTTTTCAGTCAATTCAAGGGCACAGCTATTGCCCTAAGGCCTGCTATACTCCGAGGCCTGTCAAGACAGAGACAGCCTCATGGACCCTAGCAGTCTCGGAGGGATTGAACACAGGAAATGCATCAGCTGACAAGGTAGGTAAACACAAACACACACATGACAATACATTTAATATATTTGTGGGTGTTGAAATTGTCAAACATTTATCATGATTGTAAAGGTACATGTTTGAAAAAAGCACATTTGTAAAATTTATAAGAACACTGAACATATGTTGATGTTTTTTTATTAACGCTTCATTTTTTAATATGCCGTATAATATTGATCTGACTATTATTTCAATGCAAACACAAAAGCTATATATGCCTCACACTTGGTTATTAGCTTGAACATTCTATATTCTGTACAATTCTGTGTCTAGAATTATATATACTTCAAAGCATTTGTGGTTACATTTTGACATGTTCCTCTGTGGCAGTGTATTGTTTCACTGCTTATGGATCAGGTTGCTATGGCTGGAGTGCCCTGAAGTCAAGAAGTGCAGAAACATGATGTGAAGCTGGCTCCCTCCTGTCCACACTTCCCAAATATACCCACACTTCCCAAATATACCCCCTCCTAAAGTAACCTGTCTACATCCATCTGGAAAGACTACTCAATTATAAAAGACCCCAAAATTCCACACTTATGACTTTTTAAATTATTTCTTTATTTTGATCCAGCAAGCAACATATTGCAACATATTCATCTGTGCTTTTGTTCAGTTTCAGGTCTGAACTCACAGAGCTATGGCAGACTGGAACCTGCTGGGGAAGCTCCTGGAGAAGGCCCAGGAGCACTCGACAGTGGTGGGCAAGGTGTGGCTGACTGTGCTCTTCATCTTCCGTATCCTGATCCTGAGTGCTGCCACAGAGAAGGTGTGGGGAGACGAGATGTCCGGCTTCACTTGCGACACCAAACAACCCGGTTGTCAGAACGTTTGCTACGATTACACCTTCCCCATCTCTCACATCCGATTTTGGGTGCTGCAGATCATCTTCGTGTCCACGCCCACACTCATTTACCTGGGACACATACTTCATCTTGTGAGAATGGAGGAGAAGCAAAAGGAGAAAGACCAGCAAATGGAAATTCTTCATCCAGAAAAGCAAGCGCTCATTTCAGATACAAAGCACAAAAAGCACTTGGTGAGAGACAATAAAGGACGAGTGCGTATCCAGGGGGAGCTACTGCGCACATACGTCTTTAATGTAATCTTTAAAACGCTGTTTGAGGTAGGCTTTATTGTAGCTCAGTACTTCTTGTACGGCTTTGAGCTGAAGCCTATGTACACATGTAATAGGCGGCCTTGTCCTAATGTAGTGAACTGCTACATATCGCGCCCCACTGAGAAAACCATCTTTATCATCTTCATGCTCGGAGTAGCCAGTGTGTCTCTACTGCTCAACCTCATTGAGGTCTATCATCTGGGATTCACCAAATGTCGCCAGGGATTCACGTACAGGAGAAGCAAGGAGTCCCCAGAAATTATCCCAAAAGACCCTGGCGAGACCACGGTGCCTATTGTTCCCAGTTATGATGACTACTTCGCTGGGCACCCTCCAGTTCAGCCAGCATATCCTCCAAGTTACAACCTCTCCTCCCCAATCACCGATGGCACAGACTCCTCTTTCCATCCCTACCATAGCAAAACAGCCTACAAACAGAATAAGGACAATATGGCAGTAGAGAGGAGCAGCACAAGCAAACCTGAGGAATGTGACCTGAAAGGCAAGAAGGGAGCAGGTTCAGCCCCGGGGTCGCCCACACAGGCCAGGCCAGGGCGCAGCACCAAACACAGCAGCAACAAGACCAGAATAGACGATCTAAAGATATGAGGAGCCATACGTTTCTCTGGTAGCGTCTTAAATTGCTGTAAAGAGATCATGTGATGTTTGGAAGCATTCACACATGTTGAATGTCTGGATCGTTTAAAAGGTGGCGCAGGCTTGGCTACTGAGGTTAATGCAGAACATGCAGAAACATGCACTGTTGTCATTTATAGGCTGGTCCACCTCTAAGCTATTTTAATGGAACAAATGTTGAAGCCAGATCAGGAAAGCTGCCTTGAGCCTGAATAAATGGCAGGGTCTAATATGTCATAAAGGGCATCTGGTTGAAATGTCCATGAAATCAGTTGTACAATAAAGGGATGATTACTTGCTTTGTAAACTGCTGTTAGGGAAAATAAAATCAGATTGTTGAGCACTTGACCTCACTAAAAGAAATGAAATAATTACTATTGTTTTAGCTGTCGATGTCACAAAACATAACTTCACTAGACTTGAAATGAAAAATTGTGCAATAAACAACGACATTCTGGGCACTAGAAATGCTTAGATGTATTCCAGGATGTGCCCCAGAAATAAATTGCACTAGTCTCAGGAGTTCTGTCACTTTTTATTATGCCAGATACAAGTAGATAATTGCAGCCACATTGGATAATAGTGTTGTACAGATGCTTGTCATTTGTTGTATGTACAGACACACTTTGTGATATTTATAAAATGAAATAAACTTGTCTTAAATTAAATTATAAGTATTACTGTTAAGCAGAGATGAGTAAAATAGCCAAAAATGGCAAACAAGTAAAATAATAGAAGTGGTCCATTAATGACTAAAATGTATGAGTTAAAAGTTGTTTTGGGCAACTACTGCTCAAGGAAGACTAACTGTAATAGTAACTGTCTGGGCATATACAATGTCACAAAATTAGTGTAACTGGAAGTACAATCTGGCATTTTCAAGAGTAGATCAAAGATTTTATTAAAAAGGTTAATCTACTTATAAATATATTTCCTGCCTCAGCCATTAAGATTTTTTTTTTCAATATAGAAGTAGTAGAAACTGAAATGGTATTAACAGTACTTAAGATCAGTGTAATTTCAGTCATCATACAAATGCTAGCACCAGTTCTCAACCTGTAGGTGAAATTAACAATGTACCAGGGACAAGTGTCAAACACTTTTGCTCAACAGGAAAAGACTACTACTTATCATCTACTACTGAAAAATTTAAATAATTATAGTTATTTTTTACACTTTAACCAGATGTTTTTTGTTGTTTTTTTGTTTTTGTTTGTTTGTTTTTTATTTATCCTAATACTATCTGTACAAAGGAAAAGGAAGAGGAAAACCCAATGTAAAACAAAACTTTGAGGTATGACTCACTCAGTCTGAACATGCCAATTTATTTTAGTCCAGTGCCAAAAACAACACATTTTACATTTTCTTTGTCATTTGAGAAAACAAATGATAGTCTAACAAGATGAAATGGCTGGCATTGTTCTATGAAATGTGTAACCCCATTAATCTCTTTTAGTAGAGCAAACACAGTAACATTAAGAAAAGCTATCTAAAAGATACACAATGTAGCCTATACAGTCAGTATATATGTGGTCATCTGTTGGAAAGGTGACACTTTTATGCTGACAGGTGAGCACAAGTGAGTAATGGTTATGTGTGTATATCCAGCACTTTGAAATCAAATCTTCTTGTCTGAGGCCAAAAATGTCAACTGTATCAAAATGTTGGACTATTATAGAAGACACGGCATATTTCACTGCATTTATTGGGAACACCACCCGTCTGTAAACAAACTGGCCATTATATACATCTACCTGGGTCAGTCTTGGCATGAATGAAACTCACAAAACCAAATGAAAGACACTTTACATTGCTCTTTATTTATCAGAGTTGTAAAGTTTTTTCCCCCCATCTGACTAAGTGAAACCGTGTCTGTGCTTACTAAAGGTATAATTAGTAGCGTTATAACCAATACCAAGACTTGTTCCAAATGCTTGTTTTTTGGCACCACAGTTAAATATTAAAAACATTACAAGAGGAGAATAATTAATAGAATAGAAGGAATCAAAGCCGATTGCTGAGTGTTAAGTCTTCTCTGCAGTCTTTTATTGTAGACATTCCATTTGGTAAGGGGGCCATCTGCTGGACATTATGGGGAAAATGCTGATTAGAATGAGCTACATAAACTAAATAACGCGTGAGATTAAAATAAATTCTACAGCTAGTGTTATTGATATGAGATCTATCTATTATATCTATATCTTGTGCAGTTTTGGAGATTAGTTAAATTAAAGGAAAACGAATGCATCACCGTTTGTTGACTGACTCATCACTAGGGCCGTCACCTCCTCACTTTAACCCACAGACTGTAGCCTGTATACAGTCTACGCTCAAAACCAGGCTGTGTGACTTCCTGTCCTATTGAGTACGTGCTGATTACTGGAGCTGTTTGCTGCACTGGGAGTTGTTGAAAAGAGACTCACGCAAACAGGAAAAACAAACTGAAATCAGCTGCTGACATGGTTTCTGAGGCAGAAAACGCCATTAAAGCCTGGCATCTGTCAGTTGTTCTGTTGGCTCTGTGGTTGTGCTTGTGCTGTCCCAGCGATGGGAACAGGCTGTGTGCTGCCACCGTGTGACCAATCAATCTCTCTGCACAAAAGAATTAAGCGCACATGCTCTCAAAAGTGTGTCAGTTTCATTAGTTTGCTTTTGACTAGGTCAGATTATGGGAAAAACATAAACAAACATTTTTAAACCTTAAGGAAACAAAGATATTTTGTTATTCATATGTACAACTTTTCAAATTCAAATAAGAAAATAATGAGAATAGTTAATTGGGTCATAAGACCCATAAGTACCCGTGAGTTTTCCATTATTATAATTATTTTGTAATTCAGGCATCATGTTTTAGGTAAACCATGTTTGTTGTGCTCCAGTGCACAACAAACATGGTTGCATGGCATTTTGTTGTATCAGTGGGTTTTTAAGGGATATAATTTCCTACACATCACTCAATTATGGCAATCCATAATCCATAAGTAACAAACATTGTATCAAGTGTTATTGTAGATTCACAAATGTACAACAGTGGTTTTCACTGCATTTAAAAAAAAAAGAAATTATGTAATTTTATTCACATTTACTCAGCACTCAACTATACAATTTAACTAAACTGACTTAAATAAACAGTACACAATACACTGCATTAAAATGCATTTTTGTTTCATTTTCTATGATAACACAACACAGTAGTCATGTGAAAAAGTTATCAAACCCTTGTGGATGTCTTATATTTGGAGTTTTAGTCCATAACAAAACAAATTGTAATATTCTGACATATTATGCAAACTCTTCTAGATTCTAGATCATTGTAATTTAGCACAGGAGTCTGTTAGAAGTTAGACTTTCCACCAAAATAAATCCAATGATAATTTAAAAAATAACATTTTATATCTACTATGGTTGCCTTCACCATTTTTTTTCATGCCTGAATTTATTTTAGTATGATAAACTGCACAAAATAAGTCTATATAACAGGGATCTCACACCAGTAGCTGTCCACAGCCTTTCAAATTGCTGAATAATTCAAATTGGATTCATCACATGCCAATTACAATGGGAAATGTATACTTTAGATGTCAAACTTTGGGCACTAATAAATAATAGCTGATGTTTTAGGGAGACTTGATTTTTGTGACAACTAAAAAGAGTAGCTCTGCCATTTTCATTTTGTAAACAGAGCTCTCCAGGGGAAGAAAGGTTGGAGAACCCTGCTATATGGGATCATTTGGCTCATCTCATTCTTCCGTGTACTAACTATTTCACAAAACTGAAGCCAGACTAATTATTCTAATGTGTGTCAATGTGGCATGAAGAATGGTTTGGTGTGTCTGTATTTTTATTAAGTTAAATTGTTAAACTGATGATTTGTAACTGTCTTCAGACATTATATTATCTCCACAAATCCCACTTAGAATAATAAGTTTGTCACTGCACAGCCTTTTACAGCAGCAGGACAGAAGAGCAATCAGACTCTCAAATTCAAGGACAATGGTCAAATGACGCAAAATCAGTGAAGACTCCACTGTGTTTTGCTACTTTAACTAGGCCGCTAAAGCCTATACAAACCAGATCTTTGAGCTCTCTGGACAGCTATAATAGGTTTACTGCTGGAGTCCTCAGCGGGAGGTTACATGATCCATACCATGTCGCTCCTTCTGGCTGATAATAACAGTTTTAATCATGTTTGCCTTTCCCTTTGGGCGCGCCTTCGTTCCAGGCCACATATACGAATAGAGCCAACACCACATGCACAGCAAGAACAGCAACAATGGCAGCATAGAAGTAACTGTCAGAACTGGACATCTTCATTGAACCTGGGAAATAAAATGTAAGACAAGTTACAACCACATTCTACATTATTTCCTACCATGACAAGCACCAGCAACATTATTATACAAGCTGACCACTTGACTAGTACAGTTGTTTTACAATTGTTGCAAAATCCTTCACCTTTATTGTTTTACTTTTAGTCTGCATCAAGAAGACATGTGAAGTGCACAAAGTTGACCCAACAAAATAAAATATTCTTACAAATAGAGGTGGGCAAATCAAATGATCAGAATATTGAACATATGAATTATCTGAATAATGACTACAATTTATAATTTTAAAAAACATATACTTTTTTTTATTTGTCTTATACCTTATACCTACTAATACATTTAAATACATGTTTTAACAAGTCTTTTTCACTGACAAAATATTGTGTGAATTCTTAACTACATATAAAATCCTATTCATATTTTAATGCTTGTTTCATTTGTCTGGACAAAACTCATTGTTGACAAGTGTTGACACATTATTTCAACTATGGTATTTGGTTTAACTATGTACGATGGTCATTAACAAAGGAGCAGCTATTACAAAACTTACCTTCAAAGATGTAAGCCTTTGAAGCGAAGTACAGTCCAATGGGCAGCGTGACCATGAGGATAGTAAAAAACAGCAATGTCTTGAGGGCAGAGACCAGGGAACCCTCATTCCTACAATGAAGTATTAAGATTATGACTTGAGACAGTAATGAACACACCAAGACAACAAAACCTAGTGTTAAAAACTACAGCATGCCGACTGATGTGGGACAGTGGTTAGAGGTTAGACTAGAGAAAGAGGCGCCACTCCAGGATTTCATTAGGGTCAGTCATCAATGCTATGCTATTTAGCCAACGCAGTTTATATTATATAAGAAATGTGATGTGATGTTTTTTTACCCTCTGGAGTAAGGTGGTGGTCCCGCTGAAGCGTCTAAAGAGGATTTTACATTTCCGTCCATTCTGAGATCTAAAAAATAGCAAACAAGATAAAACAAGAAGCTGTGACGCTAATCCCGTGTTTTGTGTATGGAGGTTTTCTTCCGCAACAAGTCACGGGGCTGTCATGTGACCGAAGGAAATATCGCGAGATTTGACCAATTCATCCAAAAGAGCCAGCAGGCGTTTGGTAAGAAAATTCAGTTAGTAAACTATTAAATAGTAAATTATTACATTTATGGGTTTCATTAGATATTATAATATTCTGTAAGCCTATAATGTTTAATAGTGACGAGGGGTGAGTAAGTATGTTTATAGATCATTTAAACATACTAATTAAGGCCATAAATGAATTATTGTTTTATGAAGATTTTTAATTTTGGCTATTCCTAACTTAATTGATGTCGAATGGGGAAATAAACTGTCATAGGCACTGCAGCTTTTAAATGTATAGTCAGGCAAGTGTATATGCAACTCTAAATAGATTCAAGATTATAAGGAATTACCTCAAGCCTAAAAAAACATACGTTCTAAAGTGTAAAAATGTATTTGTGGATTTTCACATAAATTATTTGTGCCTGTTGCTTTGAGGTAGACTACTTGTTAAGCTTTAATTCATTTCAAAGATTTACATGTGCTGTCTGCCTCTGTCTCTCCCTGTCTCTTTCTCCCCCCTCTCTCCATCTCTCTCTCGTTATTGCTGGAGTGAACCACTTTATGCTCCAGTTGGCTTTCCTTGTGCAGGTCCCATGCTCAACAGGTTCCCCAAACACATCTGTGAGGGGCCTCTGGGGCCAGACACTGCCACTGCCAACAACTCACAACAGTCTGCTCACTACAGCATTATATACCTAAATAATTTTATACATGCGTGTATACATACTATCACATGGCATTTTGATTACACATTTTGATTAAACAAAATCATTAATTATCATTTAAATAAGAAAACATATTCACAAACATATTAAAACCTTGAGCTTTAGTTATAAGTAGGGACGTAACAATAATCGAAATATTGTGATATCATATCATCAAAGTTCTCACAATCGTGGACCATCACAATATATATCGAATTGCAAGTCTCTTTGCTTAAATTAAGAGTTATGGTGCAGCAACAGCTAAAAAAAAGACAGAGGGAACTACATAGACCATGATCCTTTGCTCTATTTCAGTGCAGACTACAAGAAGAAATAATAGTTCTAATCACTTTTAAATGTTAGTTCTTTGGATTCAGTCTTGTTTGAGGCATTTTAAGAGGAAAAAGTAGCATATTAACGGTTTTGTTCGCAGCCTCCACAAAATATCCCAATAAATATTGTACCATGAGATGTATATCATGAAAATATCATACAGAGAGTTTTGGATATTGTTGAACTTTCCCAAGATATCACAATAAATATCGTACCGTGAGGTTCATACCGTGACAATGTTGTATCGTGAGACTTGGATATCGTTACACACCCCTAGTTATAAGTATTGTGCCCCAAGAAAGCTTTCCCTAACTACAATTTAAATAAACATCCTTTGATAAACAAACCATTTAATCATTTGCTCATATTAAAATGACATCCTTTCTAAATGATGAGATCTTATTTATTCTGGACACAGACCCAGGTGAAGACCTCAAAATTAATCAGATTCTTCCTTCAAACTGTGGGAAAAAGTCCAAATCAGAGTTTGGTGTAGATGTCAACTTTGTAAATAAAAATTAATTTGAATACACTTCCCTGTTCCACTTCCAGTCAGAGTCACGCTCCCAGTGGGACAGGGTGAATTTCCAGTCAAAGTCAGGCTCCCAGTGGGACAGGGTGAATTTCCATTCAAAGTCAGGCTCCCAGTGGGACAGGGTGAATGTTGGGCCAAAAGTGTAATACTCTAATTTTCTTGTGTTTTTTCTTGAGTCCTGACCTATGACCTTCTCCATTATTTCCCATGTTCCGGAGTAGAGTTACATTCCATGTGTCACCAGTGCTCTCACACACTGGATACTCGCCCCACACCTGTTGTTTTGACCAAGCAACAACAGAGTCAGTACACTGTCAGTACTGTCTGTACATGTTCATTATGAAACAACTGTATTACTATATTTTATAGATACTGCCAGTGGTTATATGCCAGCGGTGTCATATGATCATTACTTGATCATATGACAATTCTCACAAATTATATTTTTGTATTTGGATCTCAATACACAAATACAATTGGTAATTTTGGAGCCTCAACATTTAATTTTACCCAGTTGGTAATTACTCTTAAAATATCACACTACATAATGAGTCTCTGCAGTGTTTTCTTGACACAGAAAATCCTGGTAAAATTCTTACCCAGACCCTGTGGGAGATTGTAAGAATACATCATATGCATAATGACACTGGCAACATAAACTAAATGCTCAGATCCATTAGAAGTCTTGCTGTTGTTGTAGCAGGCCTGCAGTGAGACCCCACTGAAGTAAAATGCAGTGATGTGCGAGAGCAGTTCAAATTCCTCTGTGCAAATAGAGGAACTGTGACTGGCTCCAACCAGCAGGCGGAAAACCATCATGTCATGCAAGCATTAAACTTCCTAATGGCTCACTGCTCAACCATTGTGTTTTAACCAGATTTGTCACAACCTCCTGCTGTTGTGGAAATAAAATTATTACTTTAAAGTTCTAGATGTGTCTCATATATATCACAAAGGGCACACTATATTTACTCCCTATATTTTTAATGTGAACCCCTTGAGAATAAATAGACTCCGGATTATGTATGCAACATTTTTCTTGTTGTAATTATTCAAACGCAAAATATAAACATCATGACTAAAATATGGTATGGCAAACACAAAAGGGTCATCTGTCTTTGATAACACCAGAAAAATGTCCCCACTCTCACTGGCTTCATACTAAATCACAGACAAAATGGCACACGCCGTGGGTGGACAGACTAGAGTCATCTGAGCTACTCCATTTGAACTCAGGGCAGGGCTGTGGTTTCATTGATGAACTCAAGTGTGTCAGTATTTCCTATTAGCTAAAACTATTAAGGTTTATAAACCAAGATGTTTGCAATAGTGGGCTGTATTTACTTACATGGAACAAATTATCTTTGCAATTGCTGAGGGAACAATCAGCATGCATTAAAATGTTAATAACATCAGATCTACCTGAAGTGATGAAAGAGGAGTGGCGTTCATCCAGCCCTCTTCCCTTCAGTCCCTCTCTGTCACTCATCCTGTACTGACCCTACACTAGTGAACCGCTTCAAATCCACACGACAGATTTAAATTTAAATTGTGCTGTGTGTCTGTACTTTTATTAACTAATGCATTTACTTGCAGGAAGCCTATCTGTGCAGCTGACACCAGACACAGACAGTGGATGTGAAGGTAAATAAAACATGCCAAATAATTGTGTTGTAGCCAGTGGAAGTGTGTAACATTTTAAATACAGCATCATATCACTTACAGTGTCATTATGGCAAGCCCAGCCTCCCCGTGAGGTGCTTGGAGTTGTGTTGTGTGAGAATTGTACTGTCAGGGCACATCTTTGCTGGGATGGCATGTGCTTTAGTACTTGCCGCTATAACAAAATGACATCTGGCTCCTGATTCACATCATCCCTTTAAGCCATTTAATGAACAAGGCCAGCTTTGTTTAGCACCATTTCTTTCTCTCTAATAATTTTTTTTAGACTTTTAAATCATTCAAGGTCACACCCATGATGATTTGAACATATGTGTCCATTAAAATGACCATAGTTAAACGGCTTCTTTCTGCTTGGACCTGTAACTCACAAAGCTCCTCTCTTTGTCTGAACTCAGAGCAGAGCTGGAGTCTTCCCTGTGACACTGCTGTTTATCTAAGGCACCAAGCCGTGTTCCCATTGGCACCTTCCCCATCTTGATATTTTTAATCTTAAATACAAATATTGCAAGATTTATGATTTAAAAGGAGCAGTGTTTATGTGCCACATGCTAGTACAAGTATGTTAACCTAATGGAGGATAACTCCTATGACTAACTGTATAATTATTTTGAGTTCTGTTTATTTTATTATTTATTGACTCTCTGCGTGGTCATAGAGCACAAAACTGTATTATTGATACAGTAAATGTCTTTCCGCTCTATAAAACAAAACAAAGTCTGGCGTCAGTGTCCTTTTCCCCAGATTATATCTTTACAACTGGAAACTCAAATTGTTCCTGTTGAGTTGAAACATTTCAAACTTTAGTGCACTAGATTAAGTTTCACTGGATTCCTAAGTAAATAAAAGTTCACATTTTTCAGAAGTTTATTGAGTTCAAGGCTCCTCTAAATCAAAACATTAAGAAGGCTTGTGATCTTTGATAAAAAAAAAATAGACCAATTTCAAGCAGTAAAATGCAGAGTTTTCAGTTATTTTGTTCCTCCCAAAGGCATAAGCAATATCACCCATAAAAAAGATTAATATTTTTTGCAAGTCATGTCTTTAAAGGCACACAATAATTTCATTACACACTTTTTTTGATCAGTAACTTTATACTCAGTTACACACAACTTCATACATTTATTTCTGCTATATTGTTGTTTGTTACAGCTGGAGAAGGTTTGCTCTTTAGACCTTCTGTGGCACATCTGGACGTCTCTACAAGCAGTAAACGCGGCATGCATAAAGCAAGGACGATTGTCTTGTACTCTTTCCTGAAGTTTTGGTTCAGCAGACCATATATGATAGCGTTGAGGCAGCTGTTGAAGTACGCCATAAAGTAACTCGTGACAAACAACCATTCAGGTATGTTGGGCACAACTTTACTCGGATTTATAGCTACTGCTAGGCCTATGAGGTTGAGTGGTGCCCAGCAAACTGCAAATAATACAAAAACCATGAACATTGTCAAGAAATTCTTAATATCGCTTGGTTTTGGTTTTGTCCTTTGTTCTGGTTTCACCCTGTGTTTGACTTTGATCACTAGCACCCATATTCGCATGTAGCAATAAGACACCACCAGTAGTGGGATTAGAAAGTGAATAATGACAACAGATATGGTGTAGTAAGAGCTTACAGTTTGGGCAAAGGTGCAAGAGTAGATGCGTGGATCATACTGAAGTGAACCCACAAAGAAATTTGGCACCGTGGCGATGCATGTGAGGAGCCAGGTGAGACCCAAGTAAAAACAGGTGTTCCTCAGGCTATAGAGGCGATCATAGAGCAGGCTGTGGCAGATGTAACAGTAGCGGTTGATGGCAATGGCTGTAATGTTGAAGATAGATCCAATAACACTGAGCCCCATGATAAAACCACTGGCCTGGCAGTGGAAGTCTCCCATAGTCCAGTCATTGTTGAAAATGGCAGTGAGCACCAGTGGATAAGGGTACAGCGCCACCACCAGGTCAGCAATAGACAGGCTCACCACAAAGATGTTGCCTGTTGGAATGAAAATAACAAGAATTAGTTAAGAACCAAAACATGAGTCAAGCAGCTCTCTGATTAACAAAAGCAGTACTCCTCTGTAGCCTGAGCGCTTGGGGGTAGATTTCCTAAAATAAAAAGAGGCACTGGAAGTATAACTGTGTCCTTGAATCACAAAAGAAGAACTTCTTTATGTATTATGAAGGTAATTTAATGAGCTGTCTTTTTCAGCCAGACTAAAAAATGACCCTCTGGGTTATGACCCTTTAAAATGGTTATAAAACCATTAAACATTTTTCCAATGTTATGGACAAGTCTATTTGTTGGGTCATAGCATTCTTATTTCTTTAAATAGAATAACAAAATATTTATGGCACCTCCTCAGGTAAGAATTATATTGTTGATTCTGCCCTACAATTGTTATGATATTATTCAATCACTCAGGTCACCATTTCCTCCAGCTATGATTGCATTATATATATAGTTTCTAATGAGGTTCAAACTTAATATTCTGTTTAGGTATCTATTTAAATGCATAGTCTTCCCTAAATTATGGCCCACTTGTTTGCATCTGAGATTTTACTGAAGGATTTTGTAGCATTTGCCTCTGCAACTTTAATTGCAAAGAAAGATTTTTAAATAATTTGTCTGAAGGGCTTCCCTTAATTTTTTATGAGCAATGTGAGTAAAATAAGCTGATACAAAGAATGAAAATGCAAGGCAGCCAACAGAAGAGATACAAATAAAAACCATAAATTTATGAAATACATTTGTATTGAAAGATTAACAAGTAACTGGGCATTTCATGTTTTCTTTTTTTGCCCTTGCTCTGAGAAAAGGCATACTTATTACATAAACAACAACATGGTCTCTTTATCGCTCAATTTGAACCAATGGCTTCCTGTCTGCCTCTTGGGGTCTTTCAGAGTGTCACTGGATCTCTTCAGTCGACGTGAATCATAGAAAATGACATCTGATAACAGACCAGTACAGCTCTTCTGGGTGAGGGGAAAAAACAATTAATCAAATCATGTTGTGTCAGATCGACCAATAGATAAAAAGAACATGCAGCAGTGAGTAAAAAGAATGTTTCTCATAACTTTTAGGACCAGGTTCCTTCAAAATATAATGTGAGTCAAACATGGAATGTTTTCCAAATTAAATTAAAATTGAGGCATGATGTCAAATTGAAAGTGACTAAACAAACATTCCAAAAATTAAGTGAATCTACCAGTATATATGGGACTGCACTGCCACAGATTAATGCTTAGTTCTCACGCACTATTACGTCATCCATTTGAACAGTCAGATTTGAACTAAATACAAGTTAAAGTTTGACATTGTAAGGTTTCATGTTGCTATAATATAAACATATTTTCGAGTGCTTTCTTGCACAGCTGAGTCAACAATGGTGATTGGCAGATATGATAGCAGTGGATTTGAAACACATGTTGGCCATCCATCCTGAATGTTCAAGGCTTTTGTTAATCCATCCACCCTAGAGGTACGGCCTGTGTAGCAACCAAGCTAATTTTAATTTCATCTTCCAAACTTACATCAGTACATTTCAGCAAGCACTCACTGCTCTTTAGCCTTGCCAATTACATTTGCTTTCATTTTTGGTTCTTTTATTTAAAGGGCCTAGATTATGTTTTATTATGATCTGTGTTATAATGTTGTTTCCTCATCACAAACATACCTGGAGTTTTCATTCACACATGTTTAACACACAAACCCTGCATATTTAGGTGTTTAGGCAATCTTATCTCAAACAGAAATCACTCCCGTTCCTACTTGTAATGTCATTTGTTAATACTGAAAGGGCTCCACTGTGTTTTTAAACTTCATGCATTTTCATTAGAATCATTTGGGTAATTTCAGCCCTGGAATTGCCAGTCTCTACTGAACTAAAGGTAAAAGGAACTTGAAAACTATTTTTTCATGACATCACAAGGTGGAACAGAACATTTTGAGCTTTGGAGATGTAGAAAGACTAATAATAAAGGATTACCCAAACACATGTGAATGAAACAAAACAGAATGGCTGGTACGTTTTTGAGGTAACAACATTATAAGAGTCTCGAATTTCCTGTTTTTTTAATTTGGAAATGTTGTCCATCTTGCTGAGAGACAAATAAGAGCATTAGTTCTTGGTCGTGGTGAGCTCGGTAGACAAATATGTCACATTGTATTTGTGATGTTTGTTCAGTGTGTGTATTTGTCATTATGCAGGACTCTGACTTCTGCCTGACATCCTGCAGCTCCACGCTTCCCTTCACTGTGATCAGGACAGACCCCAGTTTTCTGTCCTCTGTCTGGATGAACCCTCTCCCCTTATTGTCGAGAGGATGGGGTAAGTGCTAAAACACTACAGATGCGGGCCAATGCTGTGAAATGTTCAGAGCACTCAGGGCCTTTGTGTCACTGCCATGAATTCTTAAACCTCTGAATGAACTACAACCCAGTTTACTGTTGTCTTATTCTCATTCCAATCACATCTCATCACTTATTTCAACACAAATGACCAAAACATAAAAGTCCCAACAGCACAACATAAAGTCCATCACCTAACCTGAACCCACTGTGATGTCTATTTTAACTCTGCAACAGATTACCACTGCACAGAATATGAGATGTCTGTTTCAAGCCAGAAGATATATTAGATTAAATAATTTTGAGCTATTGGCTATGGTATATTATTGCATGTAACAAAAAAACCTATGACAAGATGTAGAGCAAAGAGGTTTACGGAGGCAAAATTGCAAAAGAACTACCCTGAATTTGAAATTATATCACACATTGGATTAGTTTCTATTTTTATGACGTAGTTAACCTTGACTATGACTTTGAGTCTACTAATATGCTCTGGCTCACTCTTCTCCTACGTCAGTTCAAAAGAAAGAAGGTAGTTTTTGCTTTGATCATATTCAAGAGATAAACTTTTTTTTGCCCACAAATTAAATTTATGAATCTGAATTTTGTTATAAAATTAAATTGCATCACATTTTTACCGCAATCATACTGGAAAATATCCAACAATGCAATTGCTCTTCCAGTGGCAGAGTATTACTAACTAGTCACTCTCACGCCTACAAGAATAGAATTGCGTTTCTTCCATCTTAAAGCTCTATTATTATCCACCACACCAGTGCATGTTGGGAGCTGATAGCTGATTGGGTTCTGGCCCCTTCCTTCCTTTGGCTGTCTGCTATCTGGACAGACGCAATCTTTCCAAAATGTCAAGTGACAAAGGCTTTCGGTTTGAGTTTTTGTTCACCAGTCCAAGCAGAGGCAGCATAAATCTCTTGTCATATTGATCCACAGTACTGTATATTCAGGAGTTAGCAGCAGTTCAACTTGGTGCCAGTGGAGTCTGGGCTCAAAATGGATAGATGAAGTGTCACCAGAATAATGCAGTCTGCAACCAGCTGTCCAAAAATATAGCACAAAGCACCTCTCATCCACACACAAATAAATCTGGACTTTGCACAATGTAATAAGCCTGAACCTTTCACAATAGGACATGTATGCTGGCCTAGTTGGTAAGCAGGATACAAGAAATCAAGCGAAAACCCAAATTAATATCTGACAACTCATGATTGTGTTCTCATTCAATTCTCAGAGGCTTACACAGATCCACCGGCGGGCTAATGTGTCAGCCTGAAAAAGTGGCAACGTGGTCTAAATCAAAACAACTTAATCATACACCTTTGACAAAATGAAACTTTGATGAAAAAAGAAATTCTAGTCATGTTATAGCATCTATTAATAGCATTCTTCTGTGTTTAGTGTTTTTAAGACAAGATTTGAACTGTCCTAACAGATTTAGTAAAGTAAATCCTGTAATAAAGAAATTCTTCATTGATTTGTTAGTTGAACTATTAAGTTGAGTTATTAGTTAGCATAGTATTACAGTATTTCTCTTAATTTTCTAAAGAATGGAAAAAAAAAAGATTGTTTTTTTTTTTTTTTTTTTAGAAATCATGTCAGTACATATGCTGATTCATTTGATTATTAATACTCATAGAATACTGTAATTTCAGAGTTTAGGGTCACAAGTGTCATGACTGGCCCCAAACATTTGATGGTTGATTTTAAAAAAAGAAAAATCATAAAAAAGTCTGGGAAAATGTAACTTTTTTAGCCTTTGTGCAGTCTCTTTTTTATGTATTTATTTTTGACATGATGGAACCTGCTGTAAACTGCTATATTTTTGTCCTCCCAGGTGTATGACATAACTCTATAATCTCATCAAGCTGCATCTCCTTGCTTTCCACAATAAACGTCATGAGCGATTGTGTTGTCGGGTACAGCAGGCATGTTTAACGTACTGTGCTAAGTGATATCCCCCCTGGATCCACTCCGTCAATTCTTATCTGCTCTAGCTTTGACTCACTGTGTCCACTGAGTCTATTAACCTGCCTCTGGACACTTTTTTTTGGTAGACTCGCAAAAGTGAAGTTTGCCACAGTTTTCGTCACACATGCACATCCTCTCTTCTGCTGCTCTTCGTAATGTCTTTCATTGTCGCTCTTGGCCTTGTGAGTTGGCCTGTCATCATAATTACTATATCGACTTATTGTTCAATACATGACAGTTGGAACAATAATTTTTGGGGGTCAATACTACTTATTGTAGGGCCCTTTTCTTTGCAAAAAGATTTGAGCTGAAGTGGGCTGAATACATGACGTTTATGACTCATTATAGACACAAACTATTATGTATTTATTGCAGCTCATCATAAACAATATTAAACATTTTAGAATTCTTTATGGGGGCTGAATCTGCTTTATGGTTTGGTTTCAGTATTATTGTTTATTGGTTATATTTAGTTCAACAATATATCGCACTTCAAAATTTGTTATCATGACAGGCCTACTTGTGAGGGCAATTGGTCACAGTATTTTTAGTTTAGTTTTGCCCCAATGGGAGAAATTTTGGGATAACATCCTGTATAGTGGCACTCTGCTCTATGAGACCACACTCAAAACCCACAAAAAGCCTAGAACACTGTTTTATCATCATCACATGCTATGTATTATTTCCATTAAAAAAATGCAAGAAAGTGGTATTTTGGGGAGGGGATGCAGAGAATCAGCCGAGCATAAAAAGATCAGGTGTGCAAGGGCCATCCAACAACGTGAAAACTGATTAAAAGAGTCACTCGAAAAAATTCTGGCATTGCCGTTATTACCCCACATTAAATCATTCATAATGAAAGATGTGTTCCTCCAAATGCTGCACCATTCACAGTTGTATAATATTACCACCATTATCCAATCAATCTTGTATATGCGGCACAAACATTTTCATACACATAACTTTATATAAATAGCTTGGTATAAACAGTGAAGGGATTGTGAGCAGGCTAACTGAGGTAACGATATTAGAATGTCATTTAAGTAGAGCTGTGATATAATCTTATGTTTTTGTTTGATCTATTCTCATTACAAAAACAAAAGTCCTGCCAAGTTAAAATGACTTGAATTAAAAACATGCTATATTCATTTGAGTAAATTTCACATGACAAGCAAAATTATCAATGTAACAAGTCTTTTTGTAGCTGAAATAGGAAAAAAACTGTACTGAACTTGCCAAGTTAAATCTTCTTAAATTGAGTAATTTATTATTTATTAATTATGCTCATGTTATACCTGTCATGTGTTACACATATGTGCATTTTTATCTAATACTTGCTGATGGCACACTGCTCAGATGCTAAAACTACATTTCGTTCGTTATTACTTAATTTGAATTTACTTAGATATTACATTTTGCAGTGCGTGTGTGATCATACCAAGTCTAATGCCAACCAGAGAATCCACTATCCAATTATCCTTCTTGTTTGGAACCAGTCTACTGTGTCATTATTCTGTTGTCAGATTAGCATTTGGACTCCTAAACTTCATTTTTTGTAACACTAAAATGCTTTGGGCACATTAGCTAGATTACGTAATGTATTTGAAATTGTAATTGAAAGCCCTGTATGCGACACACGGGATGGCCTCTTTCCAGTGGCTCATGTATGTTCTCATTAACATCATGTTGTGACCACTTTGTGTCTGATGAAGTTTTCTGTCTATACTTTTGGCCATAATGACTGCTGGTATATGTACATCATAATGAGGCAGAGAGCTTTAACTCCAAATAATGAATAGAGCTTATTCATTCATGCTTTTGTTCTCTGTAAATGTTTTGACATAGCCTGCAGTACGCCAGCTACTTTTCCCATAATTAATATTCACAAGTAATATGAACTTAGAATGTGCATAACACTGCTTTAAAAAGTTATAATCTTACTATATGGGGACAGAAGACACATTATATCTTTTATACAACTCGCAAGTTGATACAATGGCTAAGTCAGTGTGGGAAATTATTATATATCTTATACTATTTTAATTTGTAATTTATTACAATATTTATATATATTTCTTTTATATTTCACACATAAAGAACATAAGATAACAAAGTATATACTACAACAATAATTTCATTTTCTTTTGTGCTACACCTTACAACACTGAAGTCACCACCCCACTCTCTAAAAGGTTTGTTTAACTGAGGGTGCATCCACTTTTATTTATGGTCTATAAAGTACTGAAGCCTACTGAAATAACCAAAGATTCTTGGAAATAGAAAATATATTCTACTAAAATACCACACTTCTAGGAAAGCCCAGTGACTTTTCCATTTAGCCTTTAGCCTAGAATTAAACTTTCACTGCACATGCCTCTGTATACAGTACATCTTCAGCTGCTTTATTACTTTATTTGGCTTTGATGGGTTAGCAAATAATGCATTTAATTTAGTCAAATCCTTTCCATGGCCTCATTTAAATTAATAGCGAATAAATGTTTCTCTAATGGCATTTCTCTAATGGCAAGACTATCTATAGTGTCACCTTGAGGGACATGAGTTAGTATTGAAAAGAGCATAAGAGCTATAAGGTGTGTAGTCTCACCTTGGCGCTGCAGGACACAGCTGATGTAGTGTGTGTAAAAAAGGCAGGTTTGATTTATCTGGGGATGAAGAACCAAGGATACAGGCAGGCGGGCAAGAAGAAAGTCTGATTATTTATGAAGAAATATGAAGGAGAAACGAGGAGGCAAGCAGAGAGAGGCTCTCACAGCTGTCTGGTTCATGGATCTTCTGATAAGTGTCATTTGCAGAGGCCACACTGCATATTGTGCATTACATAATTAGAATTGTGATGAAAGTGGCAAGCAGCGTGCAGTCTTGAAAAACAATTTGGAAGCTTTGAGAAATGTTAGGCTGTATGCAGCCTACTGTTGTGAAATGTTTTGTACAGTCTTTGTGATCCTATAGACTGTAAGCTAATAATATTTTTAAAAAGAAGAAAAAAATAAAAAAGAATAATGAAATGAAGTGAAATGAAGCTTCAAAAACTTAGTAGATCGTTTTAATAAATATTATCTTAACAGTTTCCTTCTTATTTGTAGCCTATAATCAAAATTGATTTTTACTAATAAGACTAACCTCATGCTTAACAGTTATGCACTACAGTACAATAACAAAACTGTAGTGGTTATATTAGCTTTAACCAGAATTTGTTGAAGTTAACTACTTAAAATTCAAGGTCAAGTCTCTTACCAGCATTCCTGAGCTTTTTGTTCCTGTACACGGAGAGTATGACCAGCACGTTGCCCAGGATGTCTACCACGATGGTGAAGATCAGCACGCTGGCCAGCGCAGTGGACACTCCGGGAGAAGTGGCGCTCAGTCCGCTGTGAGTGGTCTTGTTTTGGAAAGACACAATAGAATTGTTCACAGACTCGTCTATTACATCCTTCACTGGTAAATCCATGTCCCCTTAGGGTTCAGCTGCCATAGTTGCGAACTATAACACTCCATACGCCCCCAAGAATCCCCAGGGGCCCTCCGGCAACTTCTTATTGAACTACTTCTCCGACGTGAAGCGACGATCTTGAACTGTATTCGTCGAGGTTAGATGAAAAGGTGATGTTGGGGCTCGTGTTTCGCTGCTGCATGACCTCTGAATCTGCCGTTCCTGAGCGCCGCTCCATTCTGACAGGGTTGCCCCTTCCAGTGTAAAGCCATGTGAACGCTCTCCTGGTTGTGCGTAATGAAAGGGCACCGGTCTCGGATACAAGGGACGTGCGCCGAACGGTGGGACTTGGATGGCACGGCAGTTTTTAAATTACCCTGAATATTCTTTTCTTTCTTTCTTTCTTTCTTTATTAGCCTACTGTTGGTTTTAGTATAACTTTGTTTGCTGACTTAAGCCTATCGGATAAGCTATTCCACAAATAAAAAGATATGCACGCACAAGGCGGTGCTCTGCTGTGAACGAACAATTCATTTGGTTCATTCATTTTCTTAAGTTGTAATGTGAACTGCACTGGATCCACTTTTAAAGGGCTTGAAGATAGCGCCGTCCTGTGTCCAGCTTGGCGCGACGCATCAGCGTAAACGATAAATAGGCCTAACATGCTTTTGTTTGTCTGATGCTTATAAATTACTGTGTGTAGAATTATGCTTTTAGGGTTTATCTTCTTGCATATTCAGACCTTTGACGCACTAGAACGAAGAGCTGCACATCAGTGTCTAGAATCATCTACTTGTTCTTCCATGAGTGGAATGCAAGAGAAATCTCCTATTGTAAATTCTGGATGCAATAAACCATTCACTTTTTGTGCTTTACACATAAAAGGTCTAGGCCTATATTACAGTTGTTTTAAAATAGCATTGGTAATATCAGTGGCGAACCGTGGATCTGGACCCTGGGCCTTGACTAGGACCAATTGCTGGCTATCGTAACATAATTTATTTACAAAACAAAAACGAAATTAACCCTCTCCAGGCAGGTGTTGCAGATTTGCAGCAGCAAAATTCCAATTACCTACTTACTCCACATCCATATTTTATGAGCTTTTTTTACTCAGGAGCCTTTTCTCCCATCCATGCTGATAAACATGGACGATGCAGACTGTGCAAGAATGACTACACACAAACGGCCTGCCAGAAGTGCAAAATACTTTTTTGTTTACAAAGGATAAAAAAGTCAGGATTGTATATTACTACCTCATATTATAATTTTCCCCAAATATCAGATTTTTCCTGATACTAAAAATTTATTTGAGCCTGAGAGGGTTAAGTGAATCAGACATTCACTTACTTTATATATTTGTTTAATAATCATTAGCTAGTGTTCAACAACTACAGATGGATCCAATGCTACTCTGAAGTTTTTGTGTTTGTTTCACACAATTGAATTTCAATGTAGCTGCTCCTAAGGCTTTAGTTTATTGAATTTATTGTGCCTATTTGCAATACACTGTTATTCAATGACATTTTTATTTAATAAGTAGATAAACTCCTTGAGATGGAGCATCACATTTTTGAGAGGGACTTTCAGATTGAAATGGATGAAATTACAGATGGCAGTCAAAATGTATTTATTTCTTAAACATTGTCCAGATGACTACCTTTTTGGTACCTTTTCTATCATACAACATACACAGTATTTATAATTATCTTTTTTGTTTTACCATCTATGAACTTACCTTGGGACACTTCTAATTGCCTTACTAATTAAAAGGTGTAAATGTAATAATGAATCAATTAACAAAAATCTAATTTAGAACATGGTCACATTTATACCATTTATTAAACTGCCATTGTGCAAAACATGTTACTCCATCATATTTTAAACACACTTCTCTTAAACACAGTATTTTTTGTTAAAATATCTTAATTATTTTTATGTTTCTCTCTTTCCCTTCCTCCTTTCATTCCCAGTCACTCTCCCTTTTCACCAGCAGACCTCGTCACTGTACATTAAAAATATGGCTAGGACCTGTAGCATATTGAGTCAGACACAGCTGTGAGATACCTAAGGCACTAGGAGTCTAAAGCACAGGTACTGATCTGGGGTCACAGAGGATCTAAAGGACATAGGAATATATTCACAGCAGTTTTTCTGCAATTATTAATGTGAAACAGGACAAAACCACATAAAAAATATAAAATAGGTGCACTAATAGAAGCTCAAGTGTGCATTTTATAGAAGATCAAAACTTCTCTAATACCTATATCATATCTATGTTACAAAATGTTCCCATAGGCACAATATTTCCACATTTGGCTTTTGTCCATATCGATCCAGCCTGAGTAATGGTGCCTAAACGTGCACTGTCCCACAACCTTAAAGTGTCCTAGAAGAAGTCATCCTTTCATGGTCTGTACGTTTTGATGACGTCTTTGATCGGTCTTCTGCAGATGGGGCAGCAGGCATTGATTTGTCTTTTGAGCTTGAGGCCGCATTCATTGCACAGACACATGTGCCCACACGTGTAGATGACTGTGTCCACCTCCTGATCGAAGCAAATAGTGCACTCCCCGTTTTTGCCACCAGGGGGCAGCTCCGGGACAGCCATGGTGGGCGAGACCTGAGGACTGAGGGGGGAGCTGGGGGCTGTCACTGGGAAAAGAGAAGGGAAAACATGAGTAGGATTAAGATGTAGCAGACATGGCGGCGGGAATCATTTATTGTTGCTGCTTAACATTGTGGACTTTAATACAGAAAACATGCTCAATTAACTTATTCTGTTACACATCTAAATCAATGGCTTTAACTTTTTAATTTAAAAATTTTAACAGGAAGCAACTTGCAAAACAGACTTTCTACCACTGTATTTGTGAAATGTGAAAATGTAATCTTTTGTTGAAAAGTTAATTCATTAATAATTAACAAAAATGTATACCTTCTTCGAGCTGCATGCCTAAAATTCCACCACTATTAGGAGATCTTTTTACCAAGATGTTATTTTTTTCCCATCATATTTCAGAAAGTTACACAGAAAACCATAAAACCAAACTTCCATTAAAATAATTTTACGCTGATCTTGTGATTGTGTGTCTCACCCAAGGAGGACTCCGAGGCAGAGGAGGAGCGGTTCACACTGAAGGCCAGGTCTGAGTCACTGTCGTCTGGACTACTGCTCTGTGAGGGGCTGGGCAAGGGGCTGGGCTGTAATGTTCCTGTGGCACCAGACAGGTAATGAATGTTAAAAGATGTTTAAAAGATGCAAAAAAAAGTATTGTGTCTTTGAAGTAAACAGAAAGAAATCATAAAAGTAAACATAAAATGCAGAGATAATGAGTTAGATTTGGATGCATTTTTGTAGTTTTACAGTGGTCTAATTGTTTTTGTAAGCATGGCATTGTGAAATGTAAAACATATCAAGTCAAGTCTCATGCTAGCACAAGTCTGGATATACTACATTTGAGAAATAATGCAAGATATTTCTGAAAAGAGAAATTAAGGCCTCCACATTGTTTTGTTTTTTGCCATATATTCTTGCCAGTGCCAGGACTCATCTGATTCGTTGCATCTTGTATTGGCAGCCTTGCTCCCGCCAGTCTGCCCCAGGGCAGCTGTGGCTACAATAATACCATACTAACATTTCTATGGAATGGATGTGCAAAATATAGATGCTTTTTTGACCTATTATTAAGTTGTATAACAGCCATGTCCTATAGTTACCTAAATGAAGGCATATAATTTAAAATCTCTACTGACTCTTTACATACTTACCCAGTATTCTGACCCTGTTAACAGCTCCATGGAGGGTGAAGAAGGCCCACAGCACCTGAGAGGAGTCCACACAGAGCAGGCGACCGCGCCCCACTCCATTGATGGCATGGTGCACTTCACCAGTGGACAGCAGGCTGAAACTGAGCACATCTCCAGAGCACGGGATAGGGATGCCCCGGTGGACAACCCAGTATTCTTTACGGTCCAGCAGCAGCTCTGGATCAGCCGGTAGGTCTGCAGCGTGTAGACTCGCAGGGTCACATGACGTCAAACCAAACAGCAGTGCTCCAAAGTATGGCAGGCCTAAGTGACCCACCTCTACGTAAATAGTCTCCCCCACGTGAAGGGGCCGGTCACCAAAGACAAGTGTCCGACTGCTGTCCAGAAAGTGTATGCAAGCGGCCAACCGATCAGCCGACAGGATCACGTCAGAGCCACGGATTGGGTGAAAGTGCAAGTTGTTGTCCAGCGGAGCGGGGAGGCCTGGGCGGACGACCCTGGAGGCAGTGGGTGCAGAAGAGGGAGTGGAGGTAGAGGAAGTGGTGGAGCAGCAGGGGATTATCTGCGAGTAGTTATTGAGCTGAAGGTCGGCCATCTTGGCGGCGGCGGCCTGGTTGTTCTCCAACTGATTGTTGTTGTAGTTGGCTGAGTCATGGCTGCTCTGGGGCAGATAGGCACTGAGTCGGGCTGTGCTTAGGCAGCTTGGCCCCACACTCTCAGCAAATGCGCTTTCTGTAGTAGAAAAGTAAAAAATATGACTCTGTGATGGTCATGTGATCAGTCCCACACTAACATTATACCAGTTTAGTGACTGTCCCTCCTAACCATAGACTGTATATATAAATGGACATAGTTAACGTGCTAGACGGCGCGTTCCACATAGGAAGTTTGCATGCAGGCACTCCTGGATCCTTCTGACCCTGGCTCCCATTGACTTACAATGGGATACATTGGGCTTTACATGATCCTGGTGTTTTTATTTTGCTTTTTTGTTTATCCTATTCCTAATATAGAGCCTGGCACCAAATTTGCCCCTGTAACCACGAGCATCGTGAGCTTAAGCATGAGTGGAGCCAAACGCTATGGGTGACATCACACTCGTTTAGGCCACTTCTTTATTCAGTCAATGCTCCTGACTGAAGCATCTATGGGACAAGCCTATAATAAATTTGCAATACACTGCTCTCTAAAATGTTTGTAGGGACTGTATATACATATATCATTATTATTTATGGAAAATAATCTAGTAATCAGCATAAGGACCTCAAAGTGTCAGCAGCTGAAGCTGATACTTATTGGCTATAGTTGCCTTGGATTTAAGAATTGGCATAGATAGTGCTCAATCTCTAGACAATTGCCTAAATGAGTTAATTGTTTTTTATTTTATTTTTAAAGTGAGAATGCAACCAACTATAGCACTGTTCTGGCACTTAAGCTCTTCTATCTATTATTTTCTGGATGAAATATGTGGCCTGCTTCGATAAAAATAAATACTGTAGAAGACCACACCTTAATGATTAACACTGGTCACTACTTCTAAACAGTTGTTTTTGTAGTACAGTTTTAACCCTGTGTAGGTCTTTGTGTATTAAGGATTACAAGTAACATGATATAATAGCTATGTAACTAAATGTTCCAAAGCTGCATGTCTGTGATCCTACCTGTACAGTTTATTCAACTTTATGTTATAGCTGTTTGTACAGGTTATGGTAGGTTATAGTCTATTCAGATATAGAGCAGTGGTCCCTTTTGGACCCATGATACATTCCTTTATTACTATTTCTAGTGATGCTGAGACAGCCCAGTGCACTGGCCCCTCACCAAAAGCTCCTGGGATCTGCCGCCTTGACCAAACATGGTCAAAGCTCCTGTCAAACTGAGAATAAACACTGCCAATGAGTACGAGAGCACTCCTAAGTTGAACTAGTGATTCAAATGATGATAAGAATAATAAAAAATATATAAAAGATCTAGGGAGTAACTTTGATCAATCTCTCTCACTTATTTATTCACTATTAGACTTCTCTGTCAATGTTTAAAAGAGATAATGACTTTTGTGGGCCAGTAATTCTTTGATGCCATGAATCTTTACACTCAGCTGCCCTCTGTCTTTGTCTAAATAAGATTCAAATGTGTTTTCTCTACAAAAATAGGCTGTCTAAGTCCTATAGCTGCATGACACAAGAAGGATTCCCATATGATTTTTTTTGTTGTACACTGACTGGTTGTCTCTTAATCCCAGGACAAACTATCAATCTTACCAAGCAGTGTGACCTCCTGAGTGATGCCGTAAATATCTATAATGGCCCACAGTGGACAGCCGACACTGAGGCCACAGTGGAAAAGGATAGGCTCTCCATCATTGATGCTGTAGAAAACACGACCATGGCGATCAGCCCAGAATGACAGTACATTGTCTTTTAAGGCCAGCCTTTCGGGAAGAGCCTTTGCCCAGAAACCAGGCCGGGTCACAAGGTCAGGGCAGGCGTACTTGGGGATGTCTGTAGCCACAAGTTCACTGGGGTCAAGGCTTGTAAAACCAAATCTGAGAGCTCCACTCCAACCTGTGTGCACACCCGTCAAACGAAGACGCACCTGAAACAAATCAATCAGATCAGCCAAATGGTATGACCACAGATTTCCTCTTTGCCATAGTAGCTAATGGAAGGAGTTACTGAATTAACATTTTATTCTTAACCATCTTACATATCATTATATGACAAGCTCAAATTGTCCTGTTGCATGGACACTCAAAGTGATAAAAGTAAGGAATAGTAGTGAACTAGTGATAAGTTATACCGAATGAAGTTATCTCTAAAGGATGTATGTTTGTTGAACAGAGATTTATAAATGGTGACTCATATACCTTTTCATAGAGATGGACTGGTCTGTGGCTAAACGTGATGCCATTACAGAAGCTGTTTTTACGAGTGGCTCGTCGAAGCTGCCCATCCAGACGGATGTTTTTTCCTTTGGCATGAGGGTGAAACCGTGGTGACTCCAGATTAACGTTGACTGGTGCAGCAGAGGTCCTTCTTTCCACACCCGCACCATTGTTGGGCAGAGTGTAGTACTGCCTGTTGGCCACCGGGCGGGGTTGCAAAGTTGTGTCTAGACAAAGAACAGAATGCAAATAATTTATAAGAGACAAATTAAAAAGCTATCAAAGCTATCATTGACTTGATCAACAGAAATAGGGGCATACACTGTGTGGTATGTACAAACTTGGTCTGTTTTTATAACTGAAGACAAGGTCAAAATAGCAGCTTCAGTGGTGCCAGCTGTTGGAAAGACAGCAAACATATCGACACACTATAACTTGTTCGCAAGTGGTCCATGACAGTTGGTTTAGAGGGCAGGGGCCAGTTATGTAAAGGAGCCCATGGTCTGAGACACTTCCTTTCCCACAGTGACAGTGAACAGACGTCCAACAAATGTAACCTACATTCACCGTTGAATGTAATGAATTCCAAATCTGTCTTGACCACTTCCATATAGGGTATTTACAGAGGTGGAAAATATATGAACACATATGACTATTTGCTTTACCTGATGACTATGGCAGTAAGAGAACTTTTAGTCATGGCAGCACCAGTAACAGATGTTGTAGTCATGTTTATGATGGTAGCAATATAAGTAGAGCTGTATATTTTTAGGTTTCTGTAAATATTTATACCAAACAAGCATATGCTAAAATATTGAACCTATTTCTTTGTTTGATTTGAGTAATATTAGAATCAGGTTGGCAGGCTGATATAAAATCTTCCTCATATATATATGGACTATACATATACTTTTGGCCTACAGCATAAACACACTCTCAATGGCCCCTTTCATCCAACGCAGTTATCGTCATACACATACTGAGAGGAAATATCTACATAAACCCTAATCTTCAGTCACATCTTTTTAGAAGGCAATGTCCTATTTAGGCAAAGGATGATTTGATGAGTATTTGATCTATCAAGGCCTAGAAATCATTCAAGATGGATGCACAAACTTTGCTTTTCATACAGATTCAAAATCAAGGGCACTATTTTCATGGTATTGCCCGGCAGCAGTGCAGTATTGAAACAAGGCTGTGTTTATGTGCCAAATCTTATGTTTACATTTATGTTTAAATGTATTGTAATGTTGGTACAGGCAATAACTCAGTCAAATGTTCCATAGTACATTTCCCAAATTAGACATTATCACTGATTATATTCTAAACTATGAAGCAGCAGCAGCAAGCAACATCTGTAACATCTCAAATGACATGCCCCCCAACTTGTACTAGGGGAATATAACTTTTCAGAAAAGTGAAAGCTATGAACATAACGGCACAGTTGGGAGTCCCTTAATGTTATTAGATGGGGCTCGATGTCAAGCAGCCTAACTATATACAGACAGTTTCCAAATCACGTGCCGCAGGTTGGATACAAACATGTTTGTGAGCTTTGATGTTTTTTTTAAGCTGTTCATAAAATACATACTGTCCCAGTCATGTGAAGAACCAAAATAATTGGGGGTACTCGGGATGTACTTTGAGATAGCAGAGATATCCAAGCCCAAGATAAACAGCGCCCCTGTCTGCATGGATAGCCTGTTTCTGGAGCAACTAAAAGAAAGTTTTGAACTTAAATTGCATTTACGCACATTCTACATAACCGGAGATTGAAGATGGAAAGTGATGTAATCTCTTTGTTTTGGTGAATGCCAGGATGAAAGAGGAAGCTGTAAAAATACAATCACAAGACTTCACAAGACTTATTTGGAGACCATGGGTCATTGGCAAGAGATGCAAACTCAAGATAGTCTTTATTTATTGTATCTCAAAGTTATGCCCTTGTTTCATATTTCATATAGGCTTTTAGGTTCTGCTGGTTGCTGTGCTGCAATCATTATTGAGTTCTGTTTTTTTTTTTTTTTTTTTTTTTTTTTTAATTTATCTGAGCATGGGGTGGCCTCAAAGAAACAACTTGGTTGCTAACTATTTTCTGTTTTCCTCTCTTGTAATGCTATTTTTAGGAGAAGACATATAAGCATCCCATGTACTCATACTGGGATGCTGTACAGTAGAAAGATATATTACTTTTAAAAAGAGTACACTAGGGTCGATTTTTCTATCAATTCCTTGTTAATTGAAACCATATCCAGTTGGAGCTACAGGGTCTAAGCTGCCAGTACTTGTGCTCCTCTGTGACTAACAGTTCTCCATCCAAACCCTACGTCAGCTGGCTCTAGTGGCAGGAACCACATCATTTCACCTTGTGGATTCCCCCAGCGGCTCTCCAGTGAGTGGGTGGTGTAAATCAGGGATACTGAAGTGATATAAGGCACTAGTTATCAGATAATGTGCTGCATAAACCCCAGTTGTAAGACATTTTAATTGCCAATACTGCCTTTGCAAGGCATGTGGCACTTAACTAGATAATAATGCCAATTATGCATGGCACTGTAAAGATGTTATTTCTGGCAACAAGCGAATAAGTGGCAGCAACTAAACAAGTAAGGTGCCAGAAGGCTGTGTACAGAACCATACATATATATATATATATATATATATATATATATATATATATATATATATATATATATGTGTGTGTGTGTGTGTGTGTGTGTGTGTGTGTGTGTGTGTGTGTGTGTGTGTGTGTGTGTGTGTGTGTGTGTGTGTGTGTGTGTGTGTGTGTGTGTGTGTGTGTGTGTGTGTGTATATATAATGCTAATGGACCCATATCATTCAGGCTCTTTGGGCCTCTGTCACAATCTAACAAGCACTGGCCTTCTGCCATAGAGGAAATGTTATGGTTTTGTTATTTAAAAATCTGTGTAATTTTAGCGGTCTGTAGAAAAAAATCCTGCTTGAATTTGCTGGAGTGCTGTGTGAACATGCTCCCTGCCCTGGGATTTACGCTCAGCTGTGCCGCGATAGAAGCGCGTCTCTGCGCGCGGTGTAAACGACTGGAATGAACACGAGCCATGTGTATCATTTACCTTTCCATACCGTTCACGTGTGCATTTCAAACAGAGTAAAAGGTCCAAAATGAACAGCATGTCTCACCTATTAATGGCTTCGGTGTCGTGTTCCCCATTATTTCCAGAAATTCGTTGCACCGGTGGGCAACTTATATCCGACTGACGCGTCCGTGCGTCCATCCATGCATTTCCGAACAGTACCCGTGCATGTTTCCCAATGCCACTGCCTGTGCTCTCATCCCCGAGCTTAGAGATGGACGCTCTCGTCTTTAATGTCAAACCCAAACCACAGCGACAAGCGGACACCTCCAACTGGCGCACAGCAACCCCTCCTTTCTTCAGTGAAGGCTCCCCCACTGCACGGCTTTAAAGACACAGTGAGCAGGGTTCCCTCTCACGCGCACGGCCACAGTCTAATGCCCTGAATAATTCACTCAGGGTTGACGCTGAGCTTTTGATGACTGTGTGGTCCACTACATCAGACCCGCACGAGCTGACAGGATGACAGTGTTTGCATATAGGCTACAGTTTTTGCACACTGCGATGTATACTGTCAAACTACTGTAAGTGGTTTATCTGGCCAAGGCTGAAAAATTAGCTTAAAATTACTTTTTGAGCAGGCCTATGGAACATTGGGGAATGTTGTTACTTAGGCCTACATGTAAAATAGAGTATAACCCTTAACTTCTTCATCATTCTTATTCTTACCTGTTCAATAATTATGATTATTAACCTTAACATAAAATTATAATATATGGTAACTGTAAATGATCCAGTCATCAGGTTATCACAACACAGTCACTTACTCTGATGTGAATCTACAGATAAGGTCATTTTGGTGAAAAGTTTCAGCTACATTTAAGGAAATCCCCCTCATTTTTCCCACCCTCATCCTTTGCCCTCCCACGACTTTGCTCCTCTCAAGCTGTTTCCTGTCTTCTGGACCACAGCTCTCTGAGAAGCTGGTCAGGGGGATGCAGTGCTTAGGGAACAAAAGAGTTCGGACTGTCTCTGCATCCACACATCATTTAGGTTGAACAAAAGTTATACAACTACTGATCATTTAATTAAGGAAAGACTTCTGTAGCACATTTTGGAAGTTTCCCTCTCTTAGTTATAACACTGATCCATATCACAAAAGAGGAAATGTGCTTCTGGGCTTCCATAACTAGCTGCCACTTTGCACAGAGTCTTATGCAGCGTGTGCATGTTTTCCATTTCTCGAAAAGGTTTAAGGTTTCAAGTTTTGCAAATATGCAACTATATCAAATAATAACGCAATTATAAATTACACTGTGTAATAGTAAGATATGAAGCCCCTCAATGGTGTGTAAATGTTTATACTCCTACCCAAGTGTGTTTTCGGACATTATTTTACAATATACAATGACCACAATCTAGTTTTTGATGATGAATTTATAAAAGGCTCCAGTTTGAGGTCAATAAAATATTAATTTAGATACGTTTAATGAAATTGTACTGTAAATGTGCAGGTGCTTGAACCAATACAATACACTATAGGGCTATTCCTGCTTTCTTATCTGGAATGAATAATTTAAAATAATAAATTAAATAATAGTTTTTAACTTTTAAATTGCTATGGTGACTGTGAAGTTTGCTGAAGCCCATGGATACAGAATCTCAGGTGTCACAATTATTACTGTAGGGCTGCATCTATAAACACTGTTTTTAAATACCGTACTGTAATCTGAAGTTGTTTGAAATTTGAACTGTTTGGGGTCGAATTGAAGCCGAGATAAAATTCCCCTGCTGCTTTTTTTGGTTTCAGAAACTGGGGGATTAACACAGGAAGTGAATAAGAGTGTGCAATCAAGCCCTGTTCCCTGTAAACAAACCAGCGCCACAGTAACATGTGCTGCTCCCCTGAGGTGCACTTCACTCCATCTCCACACACACACTATGGGCTGTTAATGAACACTTAATTACAACTGCAGTGATTTCAGTCCAAAGACATCAAGGGTAACACTGTCTACTGTTCATATATATCTTTTTTTGTATTTTTTATATATATATATATATATATATATATATATATATATATATATATATATATATATATATATATATATATTTTTTTTTTTTTTTTTTTTTTTTGTAGGTGAATGAGCAATTTATGAGGAAAAAAATTAATATTCTCCAGAGGCATTTTCTCCTGTTTTGAAAAGATATGTATGTGCTGTCCCGTTTCAAAATTTCATCCTGAGAAAGTTTAGGGGCCACGTAAGTTAAAGGTGCATAGTGTAACTTTTCTGGTGGAGGGTCCATCAAATATTTTTCTCTATGGAGATGTTATTGCTTTGTCGGGAATGTTTCACAGTATGATAGTAAACATTTTTATCTTCATGCAAACCAAACAAGATCAAGTTACAGGTCAGATCTGTAGAGAAGTGACCCCGCTCACAGTCAGAATGCCTGTTTTTCTAAGTATTTTTGAGCTATAAAACCATCTGTAATTTGATAAATGTAAGGTAAAGCTGTTTCATATCATACTGTGGAATATTTCAGGCAGAGCAATGATATATCCATAGAAACAAGCAGGTGACGGACCCTCCCCCAGAAAATATACACAATGCACCTTTAATAATAACATTGTCATTCTAATCTAAAATCAAACATACAGGCTACATTGTAAATATGTATGTGATTATTTGAAGGGGGCATTTCACAATAAATACATTGTCCAAACCAGAGAGAACCACACAGATTACACCTGTCATCTGCAAAGGCAAAGTCATAACAATGCTTTGGTAACTACAAGCCTACTACTACTACTACTAGCCTATAATAAGCACAAAATATTCAATATAGTTTTAAAAGACACAGCAAAGAACCAGCTAACGAATCCTATCAATAACAGTTCAGATTCTTAGCTTTTTCAACACAACATAAATATAATTGTTTGTGAATAATTTATTGCCAGGTTCATATTTATGGAATTTGCATAATATTGAGTAGGAAAAAGCAGCCCCATAAGATAATGTCTTGTTTACTATACATTGTTTCACAACAGTTATAAACACACAATTGCTCTTATCCAGTGCCAGCATTTTACTAACCGAACTCTCGATGCCTGTGTTGCTTCAGGATGCAGCCGTATGGACAGAGTTAGCACAGAAATGTCAACCTGATTCCTCTTGCACCATGTCAAAGCTGAGCAGCCCCTGGACACATCTGTGGCCAACCAAGCATCTGAAATATGGATTTCTCCTACAGTTACATTGCTCAACAGATTACAAATAGAGTTGTGTGACAGCAATATTTAAACTTCATTCTTCTAGCCATGTGTTAAAGATGCAATGTGTTACTTTCCTAGTGGAGGGTCTGCCATCTGCCTGTTTCCATGGAGATGTCTTTATTTTGCCTTGAATTTTCTACAGTAAATATTAAACATATCAATTTACAAAGAAGCAAGCATGTGACGCTACAAGACCAAGTTACAGGTCAGATCTGTGGAGAGTCAACTACGCTGACAATAAGAATGAATATTTAGGTATTTCAGAGCAATAAAGTACCTGTAATTAACCTAAGACAGGTTAAGACAGAAATTGTTAAGAAGACGTATTTCTTTTTTATATTATGTTTATTTTTCAGTTATTTTGTATCACATTATACATGTAGATCATTATACATTTGTGTTCATTGTAAACAGGCTTATTAAAATGGCTCAAAGGTCCTACATTATGCTAAATTGCTTTAACCCATACTGTTACATCCTCAAAAGCATCAATAGTTGTGTCAATAGTTTTGTTTCTCTCACACATTTGAGTAATATTGCATTATTAGTCTATCTACATCTCCAAAGCTCAAAATTCTGTTTTCCACCTTGTGATGTCATAAAGCAATAGTTTGCAAGTTAACAGCCTTTTACCTTTAGTTCAGTAGAGATTGGCAGTTCCATTGCTGAAAGTATCCAAATGATTCTAGTGAAGGTGTGTGAAGTTTAAAAACACAGTGGTGTACTTCCTGTATTATCACATGATATCACAAGGAGGAACAGAGTGTTTTCTGTTTGAATGAAGAGCTGAAAAATATGTGGGATGTATGTTTTTGATGAGGAAACAACATTATAACATAGATCAGAAAACAGCACAATATGTGCCCTTTAATACTGGGAACAAGTGACTTCTTGTCCAGAATTGCAGAACTGGGATGCCCTACTTCTTCACAGTGCCAGTTTAATGTAACAAACAGCAGATTTTCATTCACTTGTTTTTTGTTCAAAAAAATGGCAACAGGACATTTTTGAACCAAATATGTATGCTCCAAAGTCTGTAGCACAGAGGGTCGGTGAAAACAGATCATTTTTATCCACTGAAGTCTCAAATGCAGGACAATACAAGCTTAAACATGCATGAATCAATCAAAATTACAACTCTGGGTAAGCTAATGATGAGGAAGCACCGTCCCACAAAAGCTCACAAAACTCAATTTTACTTAATATGTCCCCTTTCAAGTAATTTCTAGCTGTCAATTGCCCTCATTTTTGGTTGTCAAACATTTGCAGCACCGGGTCCCAAGCTGAGCCCAGTTATATCCAGAAAAACAGGGCACACTGGAGGAAACTTGGCCCCTAGTAACCAGTCTGTTGCCATGCTCCGCAGCTCAGTGGCTGTTCTTTGGATTGCAAAGTGTTAGATTTTCAGAAAGTCTTGCGTAAATCTCCAAGCAGATGGTTACTTAAATATGTGGTCTGAGTATCAGGGGAGAGGCCAGCCACTGATCTAATGGACTGAGTGAGTCACTGCATCAATGTTAACTTCCACATTGATCCTCATTGAACACCAAACTGACTCTCTTTGTCTACTGATACAGCCTTGAAATGTCATTGTTGTTCCAATCGAGACTAATGTTGCAAAGTAGGCAAAAGTAGAATGTCAGTATTAAATCGTAGTCAAAGGGATAAAAAAAAAAGTGTAATTGTTTTTTTCTCAAGACGTGGTTCATATGCTACTGATGGTGCACAGTACTCAGAATTTTAGATAATGTTTAGCACTAATTTAGACCTGATATAATCCTGAAATACAAATATTGTTTTTGGGAACCACTGCTTAACATGTTCGGTAGAAAATGTATGTCAATATGGCCAAAATATTTGTATCCCACAGCTTTTAGTTACACGGACAGCAGCCCTAACACAATACATCCCATATGCCTCCATTACTAGCTTGTGTCATCTTATTTCCTTTAACAGGCAATCGGAGTGAGCCATCTGTTTTAAAATTCAGATTCTTCTGCTCGGTATTGACAAAAAGTCACTCCCATTGATAATAATACAAAACAAGGAATTCAAAACAAAACATGTAACATTTTGGACTAATTTTCTACAGGGATCTTGTGCTCAGTGCCCTCACAGATTGTTCTAATTTTCCAAATCCTCAGATCATAGGACTAAATGCTGTGGCAGAGAAAACGCTTGCAT